ATACTAAACTAAGCACATTCTGTATTGAACGGCAGCTACCCCCAGTATTGTTCTTATACTAAACTAAGCACACTCTGTATTGAAAGGCAGCATGTGCCCAGTACTGTTCTTATACTAAACTAAGCACATTCTGTAATGAACGGCAGCTACCCCCAGTATTGTTCTTATACTAAACTAAGCACATTCTGTATTGAAAGGCAGCATGTGCCCATTACTGTTCTTATACTAAACTAAGCACATTCTGTATTGAAAGGCAGCATGTGCCCAGTACTGTTCTTAAACTATAATAAGCACATTCTGTATTGAAAGGCAGCATGTGCCCAGTACTGTTCTTATACTAAACCAAGCACATTCTGTATTGAACCGCAGCAACCCCCCCCCTTCACCACTACTACTCTCACAAACTATTCTCTACGACTCCGACAAAGTTAGTTGACATCCCGTCATACACCACAGGCCCCTCCCCCAGAGGATCCCAAAGACTTTAACCAGAGTCTTTTACCCAGTTTTACATTTCTGAACAACTTTGTGTGGGCTGGCTAAGACAACTAATTAAAAATGTATCAGCTTTCTTTGCATAATTAATGTGGGGGTATTTGACGTCGGAGAGTTCACGTAGTTTGCATTGTTTAGACTAGTGGATGAAGCAAACTATCAAATACCCTCTGGCTGAAATACTTTTGGTGTGAAAGGCTTGATAGATAGCATACCGGATCAAATACGGATGATATACCTTGTAGCGCGGTACTAAAATAATAAGTTATAGATTAAAAATACGAATGATTATGTTAAATGTAGGGGTGAGGTGCTAAGATAGAGATATAAAATGGATTAAAATGTTAGTGATAATGTTTACTTTAGAGGTGAGGTTCTAAGTTGATGAGTTTATGATTAGAATACGAGAGATACAGTTTTCGGGCGACGTACTAGGTGGATGAAATAACGGCTTAAAATACAAGTGATGTTTTTTTGTGGGTGAGGTACTAAGTTGATAACTTGTGGGTGAGGTACTAAGGTAATTAAATAAAGGCTTAAAATACGAGTGATGTTTACTTTGGGAGTGAGGTACTAAGTATGACTATATGTACTTTGAACGTAGAAGTTTTATTGTCAACCCGAAGACTGCTGCATTGTTATTTGACGAAGACCTTGTATTCCAACTTCGTTTTACTCAAGCTTATTACAACTATTAATTCATCGCGTTATTGTGGAGGTTCATACACTTTGTCCAAAATCGCAGGAGAACTGCGCAGTCGTCTTTAACTCAACAAGCACCCCGTACACATTTGCACATCATCAAATGAATTCTCGTTATTTGTTTTGTTTCTCGGACTTTTAAATTTTTTTAACCATTGACAGCCCATAGAACACGGTTGCAATCACTTTCCTTTTTTTCAAATACCAAGTTCCGGCGTTGAAAACCAGGCAGTTTCCGTAATAATGGCGGCTCTTTGTTTTGTTGTTAAACGGGAGGCTATTTTTGGTTCCACTTATCGATTACTTTATACTCTTGCTGAGGGCTTACAGTATAGAAAATGGTCTTTGATGGCATAGTGATGATAGTGGGTTATCTTTAAATACTATTAAATTTAATTTGTTTTCTAATAGCAAGATTGCAAAACAGCGGTTTTTTTTTTCTACTCAGTAAGGTGTAAAAATCTTGAGTTTCGATTTTCTCCACTATAACATTACTTCCCCTATACTTCACTTACGACAAAGTAGAAACAATAACGTTGAAACCTATACTGATGAGATCATACATGCTGATGTCAAGGAAAAAATACGTAGGTCCTACCTGTATTTGATGGGTTTGTGTTCAAACCCCTGGTTCTAGTCTTGTAGTGTCCTGTGTCATTAGTATTTGAGAATGGGGAGATAGGAATGTATTGTAAAATAAATGATCTAGCGAGAAAACATTCGCTAAACTAACCATACATGAAGTACTCCCGTGTTTAATTCTGCAAGAACACCACTGGTATCTGCACCCTTCCCAACCTCATCACGTGATCACGGGGTACAACACTACATGTTTGAATGCTGTTCAATTTGGATATTTAATGTGTCTTCTCACGCACCACATACTTACACTGTTTGAAAGCTTGTCTTTGCTTTGTCTTCATAATGTTTAATTTTTACAATCTTACTGTTAGCCTAGTGTAGACGTGGTTCCCCCCCCCCTCTCCCTTATTTTACGAACCTCCGCTGCTATTGTTTTTACGTGGAGTAAAATCCCTTATTTTAAGAGCCTCGCGTTATATTACAGACACCCTCGGTGGTATAGTTTATTCAAGTAAGTCTTATCTATTATTATACGAACCCTATGCTATAGTCTTATCATAGACCAATTAAGCCCCGTATTCTAATCAACACCCCCTGACCCCTTATTTTAAGAACCCCTGTTGTAATGTCAGCGGATTTAATTAATGGAAAACAAAGGCAGTTGGCTGCACAGTCCGCTTGCATGATTTGACCACATAAACAGACGGCCCTCCCCCCCCACCCCATTTTCCGAGCTGTCTTAAAATTGTACTCAATCCTTTTTTCCCCAACTTGACTCTCCTCCAGTGTAAAATAAAAACAACAATCTGTGGTGGAACAATACATGTTTTTCCCATTTCGACTCGACTTAAGTCATGTTAGTTCCTCGACATCGAATAATTAAAGATGATTTGTTTCGTCCGGCCGGCCGGAAAATTAATTCCAGTTTATAAATAAATAAATAAAAAGTTAGTTAACGCTGAGCCAAATTGAATATCTTGCGCATGTTCGATGAAGAAACTGACTACGGCATTGGATATTTATGTGTCGGCTGTTCGTAAGATGAAATACTCTCCAGAAAGATACTTACAAGATACTCTTTAGACCTAGCGATCCATTGGGCAGAGCTGAAATGTTTCTTGACCTCCGCATATGAAGGGAAGGTGTGGTCAGCACTTTGCCCAGCCGCCTTTACTCGAGTTAGATTTGAACTCGAGACTTTCTGATTACCAGCCTAGCGCTCTACCGCTTAGGCCACGCCGTCCCATAGAAAGATAGTTGCTGTTGTTTCATTGATACTTTTTCGTCTCTTTTCGCCTTGCAGTTGAGGCAGTTCAATTTTGTCCGTTGATTCCCCCCCCCCCCCTCCTATTACTTCATGACCTGACATGTCGGTCGTTGACCTCTAGATAAGACAACAGACCTACTTAAACCCCGTGCTCTAGATCAGGGGTCTCCAAACTTTTCAGTCCGAGGGCCGCATTAACTATCAAATTTCAGTTCGGGGGCCAGAATCTTCCAGGCATGTCTTTGATTTTTCTGGGAAAAGTTCCTCAGCCATCACCAACAAACGTTTTTTCCGTGGACAAAAAGATCTCCGCGGGCCGGATGAGAGGACCTCGCGGGCCGCATCCGGCCCGCGGGCCATAGTTTGGAGACCCCTGCTCTAGATGTATTTATTTGACGCGCACGTCCATTAGTACGTGTCAACTGTGGGGACAGTTTTTGTGAAGGGTTAGTCAGAGGGTCGGCGTGGACAAGGGTAGCCCACAAGACAGCTAACCCAAATAGTGTTTCTTTCAGACATCGGGGGTGGTGGGTGGAAAGCACGTCCAATACCCCCTCCCCCGCGGACGAAATAGAAAAAAAATTAAATTTAAATATTAAATATATATTTTAAACATTCTCTCTCTCTCCCTCCCTCTCTCTCATTCTCTCGCTGCCCCCCCCCCCCCCCCGTCCCGTCCGGAGGTTTTAAGTGTCATGTGAACCGCAATGTCTTAAAGAAACTCTGAAACCGATGAAACAGAGTTCGGTTTTAGTTGAGTCTACCCAGCCCTGCTCAAAACATGCATCGATATTTTTTTACCAGACACACACCACATAAAATTAAAACTTATGACATTTCTAATATAAGTTTTTTTTGTTAGCGCTCTTAACGCCACACATAAAAGCACTACATAATAATCATAAAGTGCGTTTACCTTATAACTGCTATTTCTATTTATGCATTGATTTGTTTTTAAAACGTTAAAAGACGTTTTCTTTTTTCACTGAATTTCGAAACTCTTTGGAGATTAACGTTCTAAAATTAGGGGTCACGTGACAATATCTTCAAAGAAATGGTGTATAAAGTGAAAGAGCTCACAACAAAACTGAACGCGGTACCCGCACATGCGTATCAACGGGGAGAGAGATTTCGAGACATTTCCGGCGATGGCTTTTGCACGAATGTCAGTACAGAGCAATCGATAAAGCCTGGTTATAAATGCAATGGGTGTAGTTAAGTGACACTGAGGGATGAGAAAGTTGGAGTGGTCGATTTTTTTCTTTTTTTTTCTGCTTGTCGGCTTTAAGCCCGCTACCACTGGGCACTAATCTCAGCCGTTAGGCGTTTGCTTTTGATGTCACACATGTGCTGAAGTTGACACAGTGTGTGAATGAAACTTTTGATTTGAAGAAACCTTTTTTTAACCCCCCCCTCCCCCACCCCATTCAACCTGTTAGTAAGGAGATTCAGACTGAATATCAACAAAGATTCAATAAGGGAAGTCCATACGTCTTTTAAGTTATGTGACGGTTATGTTATGTAGGGGGGGGTAGGGTGGTATGAGGGGGAAAAAGTGGAAAAAAAAATGTTTTACCTCATTTACTGACGACCTCGTATAAGTACTATCACTTTCTTCAAAACCTTGCTACAACATTCCCGAGTCTACCCAGTTCTAATGGATACCTTACTCACATTAGGGAAAATAAAAGCTGCTGGGTATAATGCTAACCACACTATCCCTTCTACTTTTGAGGTCGCAGAAACAGGTGAACTCTACTTCACTTCCCAAGGGACCATCAGGCTCAAAAATACAACTTATCTTTTACAACATTTGAGCTTTTTAACTTCCACCTAAGTGACTTTTCTCAACAATCTTTACAATTTTGTGTAAATTATCGTTGCTTGAACATGAGTTTTCTACAAGTCTTAGAACTAATGAACTGACCAGGTATTTGGTTTGCTGTACTTGCAGGTGAGCTACTTTGAAATTTACTGTGAGCGTGTCCGAGATCTCCTGAACCCCAGCAACAAGAACGCCCTGAGGGTGAGGGAGCACCCCCTGCTGGGTCCTTATGTGGAGGACTTGTCCAAGCTGGCGGTCCAGTCCTTCGAGGACATCAACAACCTCATTGATGAGGGCAACAAGGCCAGGACGGTGGCTGCCACCAACATGAACGAGACCAGTAGCCGCTCCCACGCTGTGTTCACCATCATCTTCAGCCAGAGGCGCTACGACCCAGACACCAAGATGGTGGGGGAGAAGGTGAGTTGTCTTTCCATAGGTTAATGTCCTTATATGGGATGTGGTGGTAAAGGGGTAGAAAGTATGGCCGCTGAACTGAAAGTCTTGAGGTCAGTTCTCATTGGCTTCCATGCTGTGTTCACCTAAATACCAAATTGGTAAATAGTATACTGCCCTTATATAGGGTGTGGTGGTAAAGGGGTAGAGAGCTAGACTGTTGAGCTGATATTCTTGAGGTCAGATCCCAGGGAGCTTGTTTACTTCTGTGGGTAACCAGTTCTCAAGGGTACCCTGAGTCTCCCAAGGAAAATAAAGATGGTTTGACATAGTACTTACCACATAACCTCTGAGCTCATCCAGCTCCTGATGGGTTCTTTATAACTTGATGAGGAAAAGTAAAGGTGGTCTAGGTCACATAAATAGGGTATCTCTGCTTCATCTTCCCTAGAAAGCTTCAGATCCAAACTCTTAAGGTGTTTTCCTATAACTTGGACCTATTTGCTTGTAAGAAGGAGGGTTATTTTAAGTCTCCATGGAAACTGTTTAATGTACATTTCATTTGAGGAGACGATGGTTCAACCCTGTTTTTTTGTTCTTACTTGTAGAATTTGATGGGATTTTCTTCTACACAATGAAGTTAAAGTATTGTGTGTCAACATGTTATGTGTCCAGTTGACTCAGCCTTCAACCTTCTTTTCTTTCTGGATCTGCTTCCTTATCCTTTGTCCTGCCAAGAGCAATCTGCAAGGCAGCAGTTGTATGATTTTGGATTTTTCTCTCCTAGATGGGCTGCTGTCTCCAGCTAACGAGCTCATATGCTCATGGTCGAACTCAAAAGACTTTTGGATGATAGTTCACCCAGAACTGTTTGTTGTGATAAAAAAGTATTTCCCTCTCTTTAGGTCAGTAAAATTAGTCTGGTGGATCTGGCTGGCAGTGAGAGAGCTGACTCTACTGGCGCCAAGGGCACACGACTCAAGGAGGGTGCCAACATCAACAAGTCTCTAACTACCCTTGGGAAAGTTATTTCAGCACTGGCTGAAATGGTGAGTCATATTTTCACTGTTTCGTTTCTTCACATACTTTAAGCTGTCTACAACTTAAGACAAACATTTAATTTGTTTTCTTTAATAACACCAACACAGTCGACTACGAAGTTGGAAGTGCTGTTGAAAAGGATTTTAAAAGTTTGAAAATGTTATGCATAAAGTCATGTCTAGCACTCTAGTTTCATGACTTTTAGATATTTGAATCTACACACTTCTTTTGAGTCAAAGACGTTAAAGTCTCAAAGTGTGGCATTGGGTGTGTCCGCTGGGTTATATCATTTAGGGGGTGACAACAGTTAGAAAAATTTTAAACTATACAGTTAAAACAGTGTTTTATCGAGTTGGAATAATAAAATAGTTGGGGAAAGTAGTGACACCTAACTAAAAATTGATAATTATTTGAGAAGGGTGGGGTGGGGTGACACCCTCAATTATCATGTGGGTGACACCCCACCTAGTGACACCATTGTGTGTAACTAAAAACAACTCATTGGATTCAAGCCAAGTGAATATGATGACTACTTTAGGGCTATGATGATTATTTATGCTTTATAAAAGAATAAAATTAAAACAGTTTTATGACATTTAAATGATCATAACATGTCACATATTACAGGAGATGAACTATTGAGGGAATGACGTTATTTAGGTCTAGCTACTTTTTAATTTTAAATGCTTTGAAACTAATATACATAAGCTTCACAGCTTTTGATAATTACCAAAGTATAGCTTTGTCTTTATAATTTGTATGCTAATCTGGGTTTTCAGAGTGCTATGGACCCAAAAGTAAGGGGAGTTAATAAGTTTTCTTTGTTGTCATTCATTTTCTTGTTTGAGCTACCAAGGCTTTTAGATGATTTGTTTTGTTTCATTATTGCATGTGAAGGTTTTGTAGTCTCTGCTTCCGTTTTATGTATGCACTATTTTTGTGAGTTCCATATTTTAAGAAAATAGAGATGGGGGGTATGCAGTTTAAATTTATATTTCGATGTTGTTAAGCTGGTGCGTTATTTTAATCTACGTAGTTGCCCAAATTCTAAATGTAACCCTGATCCAGATCTAAAAGCTAGTCCTGATGCTAATTCCAAGTTTGACCTGTTTGCCTGTCACTCTGGTCCCAACCCTAGTCTCTAATTTAATATTCAGACATTAATCCTGACCCTAGTCCTAATGCAGACCATAGTCCTAATCCTGACCTTAGTCCTATTCCTGGACAGTCCTAATCTGGGCCCTAGTCCTTATCCGGACCCTAGTCCTAATCTGACCCTAGTCCTAATCTGATCCTAGTCCTAATCCTGACCCTAGTCCCAATCCTAACCCTAGTCCTAATCATGACCCTAGTAAAAATCCTGACCCTAGCTCTAATCCTGACCTTCGATATAGCACCAATGAAGGTTGTACTTACTCCTCAATTCAGTACTATTTTGTCTTATTGACATCTGTACATGTTTGATTCCTTGAGTTAAGAAGTTGGTTGAGTGGTAGAGCACTTGATTGCCAACCTGAAGGACTCTAGTTCACAGCCTAACTCAGGTTTTGGCTTGTCCAATGCTCCAGAATCAATCCATTACAGATGAGCTCAGGCAACAAGTTAGGGATACTTTTTGCATTTTTTAAAGGCAAAAGAAGAACATAGCTTCTTACTCTTCAAAGGGGGCTTTGCTTGATTTTTCAGCCTTTTTAATGAGGAACCCAATTGTATGAGCATGCCCTCAGCTTTCAAATGAGATAGGAGACTTTATGTTTATGGCACAGTTTCAGATGTTGCTTTCTTTGTTTCTCTCAGTTAAAATATGGGTCTAGTTTACAAGATTCTTTGACAACAACTGAGAAGATTCATTAAAAAAATGTTTTTTAGGCAGCCTCCATTTTTAAAGCGAAACTAAGTTAAAAACAAGAAAATGCAAGCTAAACTAAGTTAAAAACAAGAAAATGCAATAAAAGATCCACTAAATTTATTTAAATAAAGATAAAATTTCAAATTAAAGTGAGTTGGATATTACTAAATACTTTATTACGGTGAATAACATCTTCTGAAGACTAGGTTACATTAAAATATAATACTTAACTTGTTTAGTTAACGATAAAATAATTTGAGTCACTGTATATTTTAGTAAAATAATTTGGAAGTACAATTTTATTCAAAGTATAGAAGTTCAGATTTTACATATAAAAATTTATAGAAATATTTGTACACAATATAGAAGTGTACATTCTTTTATACAATAAAGACATGTAGGCCTACATTTGTGTACAAAATATAAATACTGTCTAACTAAATGTCTTAAGTTTATATAAAAACTTAACATTTCACTTACATATGAGTATAGATGGAATTGATTTTAATATTTGCTGTTTTATTTTTTATTTTATTAGTTGTGCATGAAGATGCAGACATTTATCTCTAACGTAGCCACAAGATAACTGGAATTATCTCAATGGTTAACTCTAGTCTCAGATAATGAATTTTTATAGGCCCACATGAATAATGTTAAAATACTTAAATTGCTTACGCATTCATTTTTATAATTGTTAACAGGGATTAAATGCAAAATGTAAACATAATAATTATGATACAGGGAGACATGCATTTTAAAAATGAAAATGTTATTATGTTGTTTTCTGTAAATAAAAGAGGTCAAAATTTATTTTTCTTTTTAAAATAATTAGATATTCCTTTTTAATTTCAAAATTAATGTAAAGCTATATAAAATTGTTATTATTTAAACATTTTTTAAAAAGTAAACATCTATTATGTCTGCCTAGAAACAAATTGTTGTAAGCTCATAGCTGCTGTTGACTGTGTTTGAAGTTAGTTTTGGTGGTTACAAAGCTGACACCGCATGCTTTGAACTCTCCACAGGCCAAAAACAAAAAGAAGAAAGCTGATTTCATTCCATACAGAGATTCAGTGCTCACCTGGCTACTCAGAGAGAATTTGGGTAAAGTTTTTTTTATTTTACTGTTGAACATAATTACCTTAGGATATTTTTCAATTTGTTTTCAATTAAAACATCACGCGTTGTAAATGGATTTTGGATCTAAAGTATTTAATGTTGAGAGGGAGAGAGAAAATAGAGAGTATAAATGTTATTTTTGTCATGGTGTTTCGGAAAGAAAACTTGGTGAAGATTGGTTTTTCAAGAAGTTTAAATTATCTATTTTAAAATATAGATTTGCTTTGATTTTATAGTAAAATAAATTTTAAAACTCATTAACAGATACATTTAAAAAAAATTTTGTTTTGTTTTTCAAATGAAAACAATTTTTTAAGTAATAGTTACTATAATATAGATTTAAGAAAAAAACAACTTTTTAAAAAGTGAATGACTAAATTTGTTTTTCAATGCAGGAGGTAACTCTAAAACAGCTATGGTTGCTGCCCTTAGTCCTGCTGACATCAACTATGATGAAACCCTGAGCACACTGAGGTAGGTTCCATTTGCTCCACACTTATTGAACTTATTGATTGCCCTGGCTGTGACTCACCCCCTGATCCCTGTAAATAATCAATCACCAGCTATAGGGATTGGCTCTTCACATTTGAATAAAGCTTTGACCTTGAACTTTGTCTCGCATGGCATCACTCTTTTTTTTTTTTTTGAAATACTAAAAACAGTTATATAAGGGGCAATAACAATTGTTAAAAATTTAAATTGATTACGTCTATGGTTTATCTGCTTTTATTTTTATTAAGCCCAAATGGAATAGAAAAAAAAAAAGGAATAGTTCCACTAAGGCAAATACAAAGTGATGGTACTTTGTTATGTATATAAGAGATTTGGATGGTCAAATTGTGTTATTCGTTGTGTAATGTCTAAACATTCCACTACCTTTTTTTTTCTTCAAATGGTAGGCAAATGTTAATTTTGTTCATTCAAGCTGATGATACCTTTAGTTTTTCTACTAGGATCTTTATTTAGTGCACATAGAGTAGATAAAGTTAACTAAGATCCAGCACTATTTTTTTTCCAACCTTGTTTTCACACTAAATACACTTCTGACCATAGAATTAACACACTGATTTTGATTCCTTGTATTGTTAACCCTCTTCCTTGTCACTAACAACCCTAATCCCTAGCATATCTTATTGTATAGCAGGTTTAGTTTAAACCTCGCCTAAACCATATTTTTGTGCTTTCAGTTACACAACATTTAAACAATTGAAGCATTGTTTTGTTAAAACATACATGTTTTAGCCATATAGTGTTAATACTGTATCTTTGTTTCTTAAAAAAAAAAAGCTAAAACTTTTGAAAAAAATTGTGCTGGTCTTTGCTCCACTAACACATTTTCTGGATCTATAGTCTGTACTGCCAGAGGTGTGAGTCACTCCTGAGTCACACAGATAAGAAAAATAGTGAGAGAAACTGTAGGGGGGGGATGAGATCAATAGTGTGTGTTAGATAATGATTCATCTAGCTGTGTACAAAGACAGGCAGATAGTATGCAGCTAACTGGGTACAAATACATGCAGCTGATATATAGCTAGCTGTGTGCAGACAGACAGCTAAAATGTAGCCAGCTGTGTATAAAGACAACATGCAGCTAAATTGGTACAAATATTTGCAGCTGACATGTAGCTGTGTACAAAGACAGCTGACATGTAGCTAGCTGGGTGCAGATAGCTAAAATGTAGCTAGCTGTGTACAAAGACAACATGCAGCTCACTGTGTACACAGACAGCTGACATGTAGCTGTGTACAAAGACAGCTGACAGGTAGCTAGCTGTGTACAAAGACAGCTGACATGTAGCTAGCTGTGTACAAAGACAGCTGACATGTAGCTGTGTACAAAGACAGCTGACAGGTAGCTAGCTGTGTACAAAGACAGCTGACATGTAGCTGTGTACAAAGACAGCTGACATGGAGCTAGCTGTGTACAAAGACAGCTGACATGTAGCTAGCTGTGTACAAAGACAGCTGACATGTAGCTGTGTACAAAGACAGCTGACATGGAGCTAGCTGTGTACAAAGACAGCTGACATGGAGCTAGCTGTGTACAAAGACAGCTGACATGTAGCTGTGTACAAAGACAGCTGAAATGTAGCTAGCTGTGTACAAAGACAGCTGACAGGTAGCTAGCTGTGTACAAAGACAGCTGACAGGTAGCTAGCTGTGTACAAAGACAGCTGACATGGAGCTAGCTGTGTACAAAGACAGCTGACAGGTAGCTAGCTGTGTACAAAGACAGCTGACATGGAGCTAGCTGTGTACAAAGACAGCTGACAGGTAGCTAGCTGTGTACAAAGACAGCTGACATGTAGCTGTGTACAAAGACAGCTGACAGGTAGCTAGCTGTGTACAAAGACAGCTGACATGTAGCTGTGTACAAAGACAGCTGACAGGTAGCTAGCTGTGTACATAGACAGCTGACATGTAGCTAGCTGTGTACAAAGACAGCTGACATGTAGCTAGCTGTGTACTCAGACAGATCTGATAGCTAGATTGTTCAAAGACCAGCAGCTTATATAGCTGTACTAGACAGACAGCTTACATGACTCTAATCTAGATAAAGATATACCCTTGTTGAAATAAGTTGTGCAACTGTGTTTATAGAAGCCTCACTCATGCTTCATGTACTGTAATGAAAATACTGTAATGACCAAAAACATCATCCCTTATAAAGTACATTTTCTTTAGTAGAAGTAAAGTCCAATATTGATTTAGTTCCACAGTTGCTGGCAGAAGCCTTGTTGATCAGTTGTTTTTTATTTGTTTATTGATTAGTCGCCCTTGCATCATTAGTGGATGAAAATAAATATTTAATAATAGCTCCTTGCATTATTAAATTACACAGCATACACATAACATTAGGGTGGGTTATGCTCTGTAATAAAATATGGTGCAATAGCTAGATGATTTAAAAGTTTATGTAATACGTTGAGAACATGTTATTAAGATATAGCCGATGTGATTTAGTCATTAAAATTTTGTTTCGGAAGAAAAGTAAAATAATATTTTAAACAATTATTTGTTAAATAGACAACTAGGCTTGCACCCAGGGGTAGATATAGCTGCTGGAACATGAAGAGAATTCCTGGTGGGCCACTGAGACATTGGTCCTGTGGGCCGCTGAGACATTGGTCCTGTGGGCCACTGAGACATTGGTCCTGTGGGCAGCTGAGACATTGGTCCTGTGGGCCGCTGAGACATTGGTCCTGTGGGCCGCTGAGACATTGGTCCTGTGGGCCGCTGAGACATTGGTCCTGTGGGCCACTGAGACATTGGTCCTGTGGGCCGCTGAGACATTGGTCCTGTGGGCCGCTGAGACATTGGTCCTGTGGGCAGCTGAGACATTGGTCCTGTGGGCCGCTGAGACATTGGTCCTGTGGGCCACTGAGACATTGGTCCTGTGGGCCGCTGAGACATTGGTCATGTGGGCCACTGAGACATTGGTCCTGTGGGCCGTCAGAGACTTCTGTAGTAATCCTATTATTGCTTGACTTGACTTAATCCTTTGTGGCCCCTGGGGAGGAAAGGGCTACAATCATACCTTTCTAACAGACTCAGTTTTGGGCAGCTCTCCTTATCTCTGCACCTACTTGAGGCAAGTGGCCTTTTCCTCATCTTCTACCATTTCTCTTAAGCTGTCCCACTTTCTTTCTTCCCTGGGGATTCCAGTCCCTAGCTGTCTTTGCAATAATCTCTGCTTCTCATCTAAGGGAATGTCCAATCCATCCCAGTATTCCTATTAGTGGTTTGATTAAAACACATTTTTTTTTAACTAGCCCCAGTACTAGGTGCGTACTTATCTATGTTACCATTTCCCTTAATTCAAGCCCAGTTGTGTAAAGTTCATGGATGAAAACGTGATATGAAAATATTATAATTTAGTCTGACTGGCAGATTTCTTTCTTGACACAACCGGCCCACCCCTGCTTGTACCCTGTTTTCAAGCACCTTGCCATCTGTGTGGAACCTCAGCAAAACCCAGCGAGGTGGTTTTATGCTGAGCATCAGGAAGGGCAAATTGAATGAGATGTTTCAGCCTGCATGGCTTGCCTGAGATGTTTCAACCTAGAGCTTGCCCCACTGATAAAAATTAACATCAGGGAAGGGCAAATTGAATGAGATGTTTCAGCCTGCATGGCTTGCCTGAGATGTTTCAACCTAGAGCTTGCCCCTCTGATAAAAATGAACATCAGGGAAGGGCAAATTGAATGAGATGTTTCAACCTAGAACTTGCCCCTCTGATAAAAATGAACATCAGGGAAGGGCAAATTGAATGAGATGTTTCAACCTAGAACTTGCCCCTCTGATAAAAATGAACATCAGGGAAGGGCAAATTGAATGAGATGTTTCAACCTAGAGCTTGCCCCACTGATAAAAATGAACACCAGGGAAGGGTAAATTGAATGAGATGTTTTAGCCTGCAGGACTTGCCCCTCCCCCACAGAAAGCAGCTGATGAAAATGTTTAACAGCTCAATTTTTAGCCTGATAAATTAATTTTCTTGATTGGTTTTTCTCCTGTTTCCTGCTTGTAATCCCTGGTGTATTAAGGGAAGGGGGGAGAAGTCAGGTTGACATGGAAAACAGATTAATGTAAAAAAAAAATGAAAGATTTGTTGTTAGCCTGTAAAGCTGGCTTTTCGGTTATTTTTGTCTATATGGTTTGAGCTTAGATTATGGGTGTTTTCTATAGTTGTTTTGCAATATAATCCCTGTAACTCTATTCTAGTGAAAAACTATTGTGTATTTTATATCGCATTCCCAGTCAATAAATTCTCCATTTAGAATAGCTTTGTATAGTGTTCATATATAACTCTTTTCAAGTAAAATTGTTTAAACCCATCAGTTAGGAGAGGAGGACATTGTTTAAAGTAGATATTTTCAATTTAAATTTTTATATTTTCTGTATGTTTTTTTTAAGGGGGGGTGGGGGGAAGTATGCTTTGGTGGGGGGGGGGGGTGGGGGAGGGGGGGGGGGGCAGTGACCTGTCCTCTCAAGAAAGATGCCTGTTTGACCAATTGTTGTGTGGGAAATCCTCCTAAGCCTGCTTGTGATTTGATCCAGGTACGCAGACAGGGCTAAACAGATCATGTGCAAGGCTGTGGTCAATGAAGATCCTAATGCTAAACTTATTAGGGAGCTGAAGGAGGAGGTGGCTCGTCTCAGGGAGATACTGACCAGTGAGGGCATTGACCTTGGCGAAGGTGAGGGACGCTAGACTGTCTATACATTATGATCAATTAAATTAAAAGTTTAAAGCTATTGCTCAGTTGTTGAATTGTTAGAAAATTTTTAGTTATTTGTTGCATAGCTATTTAAGCATGAAATTTCATATTTTTAAAACATAAGTTTAGCTTTTAAATTAATAAGATTGAAATATTTTGGATTAAAAAAATATAAGAAATATTTTGGATTAAAAAAATTGTACAAAATATTTTGGATTCAAATAATTATACAGTGAGACTAACGTTTTTATGTTCCAAAACTTAAAAAAATATTCTTTTTTCATTATAAATATGTAAATTAATGGTCAATTAGTTTTTGTGTGCATATTTTTGCAGGACAAAGCATGCAAGAGTTTTTAGAACAGCGTGGTAGGTCAAGGTCAAGAAAAGAGTCCGTGACCCTGGAAGGTGGGGATGATGCCCTAGAAAGGCTGAAGGAGTCAGAGAAACTTATAGCAGAGCTGAACTTGTCGTGGGAGGAGAAACTTAGGAAGACAGAATCTATCAGGAAGGAAAGGTAAGGGAGAAATGTTATTTGTTTTGCAACAAGTTGCTTGATTAGATTTGTATTGCAACAAGTTGCTTGGCTAGATTTGTATTGCTGATGGAAATTTGTTTTTCTTTGTTCTTGTATTGCTAATTTAGCACATTTTGTGATTGTTCTTGTGATGCTAATAGAACAATTATTTCCTCAAACTCAAAAATAATTGGAACAAATTTTAGTTTTTTTTCCTTTTTGTGTGTGTTATATTTGTTAAATATTACTGTTAGAATAGAGCTGAATCTAAAATAAGCATTTGAATTTTTTTTTTAACAGAGAAGCAATTCTAGCTGAAATGGGTGTTGCTCTTAAAGAAGATGGTGGAACTATTGGTGTCTTCTCTCCAAAGAAGGTGTGGTTTCAGTTTTTTTCTTGAGAAGTCTTCAGCTTATAATTAATGTCAAGGTTACTACTCAACAAATGATGGAAAAAATTCACAGAGTTCCCAAGTAGATAAAAGATTCAAAGTTCAAAGGTTGATAAAGAGAACACATGATATATCCAAAAGTCTATATTTTGACATCAACATCAATTGTAACAAACACACATGTTCGATTTAATTATTTTAATAGTGGTTTTAGAAAATTGTTTTACAATATGCCATTTAAAAAAAAATAATCTGCCCATATATCCAGCGTTAGTTAAACTTCAAAATAAATAAATCAACATATCAGCAACTGTAATGCCACGGCATGTCTTGGCGAAATTTTGATGGGTTCCATAGAAAAATATACTGATGACGATTAGTAATATACTTTAGTACAATGATATATAAGTCTAAAAATATGTTTGTTTATCAAAATTGAAGTCATTTGACTCTTCTGTTATTGTTTATAGTCCCCACACTTGGTGAACTTGAATGAAGATCCTCTCATGTCTGAGTGCCTGCTGTATTACATCAAGGAAGGAACTACCAGGTCAGTGGGGATTGTAGAACAAATGTTAGGCTAGTCTTTCAAGTAGAGCTTTCATGGGTTCTAATCAAACACTGGCAAGATAATATAGTATCAACTCAGGTCCTCTGTAACGATTAAGGTGGTGGTTAGGGTACAGGGTTAGGTTAAGTATTATAGTTAGGGCTAGGTTATGGTAATGTTACTAGCTTCAATACGACCTGCCATTAATGTTACTGATGATGGGATGGTGTGGCCTAGCTAACCCCAGAGTCTCGAGTTCAAATCTAGATTCAAATCAGTGGAACATCCCTGAGTCTACCCAGCTCTGATAAGTACCTAACTAAACAAATTCCACTGGGCATAGTGCTGACCACACTATCGCTTCATATACCAAAGTCTCTGAAGCAGATGAACTCTACCCTTGTGTTAATGATGATGTTACCAGCTTTGATATGACCTTGCTGTTTGGGTTAGGGCTACATAATGTTAGGGATAATGTCACCATGTTGGATCCACCTTGCTATTAATGTAAAGGCTAGTGTATGATAATACTACTAACTTTGAATCTATCTGCCTAGTTTTTTATAAGCACAAATTACTTTCATCTAGCTGATAGAAAAGTTATTCTGAACACTTGATGAAAAAACTGGTTAATTAAATACTTGATTTTTTGTTATTTAGGGTTGGACTTCATGATTCAGATAAATCCAATGATGTTCAGCTGAGTGGCTCAAATATTTTGGAGGAACATTGTGTTTTTGAGAACCAGGATGGTAAGAATTGGATGCTTTAAATAGTTTAAAAAATGCCTCTGGATACTCATAGGGCTTCTGGATGGGCATTTGTGTGTGTGTGTGTGTGTATGTGTGTGCTCTCAGACTCAAGCTTTAAAATTATGTATGTGCATTTATGTGTGTAATCAACAAGTCAAGGCTTTGAACAATGGTTACACAAATTTCCTGACATTCTTGAGATTATCCAGCAGTAAATAACATAATGGGGTAAACCAAAACTGGTTAGATATTGTGTTGCCAGTGTATTTTTCTTGTATGCAGCGGATGCAGTTAAAGATGTTTGACTTTCCACTTTCATTGCCATAATTGCTGATCTTAAAAAAAAAATAAACACACCTTATTATAAATTTTGTGTAGTAACATATCCAATTTATTCATAAAAATATGTTTTTAAAAGCATACTTTTTTCTACGTTAACTTTAAAATAAAGCAGTTTTGTGTTAAGATTTTAAAATGAAGTTGATGAAACTAATTTCTTTTTACCTATCTGAAGGCAATGTTACACTGATACCATGTGAGGGGGCTTTGTGCTATGTGAATGGGAGACAAGTGACAGAGCCAGTCAAGATGAGAACAGGCGCCCGTGTTATTCTGGGCAAGCATCACGTCTTCAGGTTTAACCACCCCCAGCAAGGTTTGTCTGCTGTTTAAACATTTAGTTTACATTTTTGACATTCTGAGCAAGTATCATGTGTTTAGGTTTAACCACACTCAGCAAGGTTTGTTAGCTATTTACACAATATGTTTTTTGACAATGCTAACTCCCTTCAGAATCTTGTGTTTTTTAACAGCATCTATTTCCACAATAATTATGTTTTAAAGTTGTGCACCTGTCTCTCTGGGCATGTCAAATATATTTCATACAAATATTCTTAATAGATCTTAAAAAGTCCTTATGTTAATCATATTTTTAAATTTATCTGCTTTTCTCTTTTAAATAAAAGTACATTATGAAGTATTATATTGTATTATTGAATAGATCTAAAATTTAATTAATTTTTTATTGTTCACTTTCCTCCAGCTCGTGCCAGTAGAGCCATGATGAGTGAATCAATGATTGAGTCCACAGATAATCCAATAAGTAAGTCATTCACATTTTATCTGTGAATTTTTTTTTGTATTACTAGGATCTATGTTTTAAATTTGTAAAAATAATTTGTTCTTACAAACAGCATGTGTACTTAAAAAATTTAACTGATTAAATATTTACATTTTGAATTTAAAAACTTAATTTTTATTAAAACTTGAATAAAATGCTGGTTTAACAAATAATATAAGTCTTATTCATGGGAGAAGATGGTTGAATGTAGAGCTCACCAATGCTAACCCTTAAGTCATGAGTATGGATTATGGGCTTGAGTCAGTAGGATGTCCCTGAATCCCCCCAGCTCTGATGGGTACCTGACTCACGTTATAGAAACAAACATGGCAGGGCATAGTGCTAACCATACTATCCCCCTGTTTGGTGAGGTTATTGAATTAGAACTCTTCTTCCCCTGCTTCATGTCTTGGGCACAGACAGGAAAACATGAAAATTTGTTCATTAAACTGATTGTGTTCAATACGTTATGTTTGGCTAATTATGTCAAATGTTGTTGATTGTGTTTCCCCCAGCTGAGCCAGTGGACTGGACATTTGCCCAGCTTGAGCTGCTAGAGAAACAGGGCATTGACCTCAGGAAGGAGATGGAGAGCCGTCTGGTGCTCCTGGAGGAGCAATACAGAAAGGAGAAAGAGGAGGCGGACTTACTCTTTGAACAACAGAGACAGGTATGTTGTTACACTAGTCAACACATCCTTTTCTTATTTAAATGAGAAATGCTTGAATGAAGTCTGCAGTTTTTAAAAGTCATAGGCAAACACTGATAAATAAACCGGGAGTGATCTCCCCTAAACTTTCTCGAATATTCTAATATAACACTACGGGGGATGGCAACTCGGGATATAGACTTCTAGACATGATTTTTAATCCATTTTAAATACTCAAACTTTTGAAAATAGAATATAATCTCGTAGAAAAAAGAATTGCACACCAAGTGAACGCTAAATAAAGATGTGCATAATAGTGCGCAATATTATTAGTACTCCATAAATTTACATGCGTTTTTTGAGAAATCGGAAATAGCGTAAATAAGTACTTCCGGTCAACAGAAATTACTCAAAATTTGACAGACGGTAAAGAATTAGATCTTTTACTTACATGTGAAATTTCATTTATCTATCTGAAATAGTACTCAAGTTATAGGCTTTTGAAAAATTTAAAGTAGAAAAAGTACCACTTCCGGTTATTGGAAATCGCTCAAAAGTTGATACGAATCTACGATTTTGATAAAATACTTATATATGAAATTTCATCAACCTAGCTGTAACGGTACTCAAGTTATCGTGTTTACACACACACACACACACACACACACAGACAGACACACAGACATACGGACAAGATTGCAAAATTATGTTTTTCCGTATCAGTGAGATGTAAAACGTCGAGATTTGTAAAAATCTCGATTTTTTTTTTGCATGATTACAAGACTTTCTCTATACTTCGTATATACGAGAAAGTAACAAAAAACGAGAAAAAAAAATTTTCTTTGTAAGTAATTCTGCAACAGTCACCCCAGTCCATTCCATGATTTCCTAATGTACTGTTTCAAATAAGCAGCTAAATTAAAACAAGTTATGTTGTAGTAAAATACATAATTCAAAATGACCATATCATATGTTGCTTTCTCTGACCACATATGTTGTTGTTCGTAACCATAGCATAAGTTTCTCTCTGTGACCACAGGACTATGAGAACCGCATCCAGTCCTTACAAGAGCAGGTAGAACGTCACTCCATGATCTCCAGCGTGGCCACCACAAATATCTTTGATGAAGAGGAACAAGAGGAAGGTAAAAGATTATTTATAGGGCAGCCTGGTCAAGTGGTTGGGCATTCACTGACTAACCCTGTTGTCCAGAGTTTGATACCTGGGTTTGAGCTGTTTCAATGACTTCGTCATTAAAAGGTTTAGTGTTCCTGGCCATGTTTACTTTCATGGGCTAGGAATTCACCAGAGCTGAGTTGATCTACCACCCAACCACACCATCCCACACCATCTAACCACACCATCCGACACCATCTAACCACACCATCCGACACCATCTAACCACACCATCCGACACCATCTAACCACACCATCAAACCACACCATCCGACACCATCTAACCACACCATCTGACACCATCTAACCACACCATCTAACCACACCATCCGACACCATCTAACCACACCATCTGACCACACCATCCCACACCACCCAACCACACCATCCCACACCATCTAACCACACCATCCCACCACACCATCCCACACCATCTGACCACACTTCCCACACCATCTGACCACACCATCCCACACCATCTGACCACACCATCCCACACCATCTAACCACACCATCCCACACCATCTGACCACACCATCCCACACCATCTAACCACACCATCCCACACCATCTAACCACACCATCCCACCACACCATCCCACACCATCTGACCACACTTCCCACACCATCTGACCACACCATCCCACACCATCTGACCACACCATCCCACACCATCTAACCACACCATCCCACACCATCTGACCACACCATCTGACCAAGTCATCCCACACCATCTGACCAAGTCATCCCAACCATCTGACCACGTCATCCCAACCATCTTATCATGCCATCCCACACCATCTGACCACACCATCCCACGCCATCCATAAACCATTATTTAACTGACAGACCAAAAACCTTTCCATGTTTATCTAACCAGAGGTCCAGTGGAGTGACAGGGAGAAAGATTTAGCAGCCTGGGCCTTCAGGAAGTGGAAGTACCACCAGTTTACCTCCCTTAGGGTTAGTCTCATTTCTTCTTTCCAGTGCTAGTTTTTGTTTATTCTTCACACAAGATGAGATATTTTGCTCACATTTTTTCAGATTTTATTGTAAGACCAATTTTTTAATTCACAATATGAAATATTTATTTTCTTGTTTTTTGTGAAATATTAACTGAATTAAAATAAATTAAAATGTCTTCATATTAAAAATATTATAAGAATATAAACAAATTATCTTACAAATTATTTTAGTTAAATTATATGGGTACATTTGTATATTTTTAAATTTAGGAGGTCTATTTTATATATATTATACATTTTACATATTTTACATATACATAAATATATCTATGTATATATAAATATACTTCACTATCTTTTTCTTTATTCTATGTATGTTAAAACTACACTGGTGTTTACAATTAGTAAATGATTGATCATGATGTGAACATTTCTACAACTTTCATCTTATTCAACTTTTCTAGGATGATTTATGGGGAAATGCAATTTTCCTGAAAGAAGCTAACGCCATCAGTGTAGAGCTGAACAAAAAGGTCAGTCACTGCATGAGTATGAAAAAGTAGCATGGTGGTAAAGTGGGCTAATGGCAGTAATTTTGGTCTAAGAGGCTGGATCTGTTGAGTACAAAGTGTTAAAAACAATAGCTGTGTGGTGAAGTGGGATAATTTCTGTAATTTGGGCTAAGAATCTGGATCTGTTGAGTTTAAACTGCCATGAAAGTACTATATCTAAGTGTGTAGGTAAAGTTAAAAATTATTTGATCTGGTATAATTGAAGATTTTAATACCATAAGAAGAACATAAGAATGCAGCCAAGAAAGTATAGATGAGGAATTTCAAAAAATGTCTCTCTTAATAAATAGCATAATGTATTAAAGTATTTTTTATAACCTACAAAAAAACATCAACAGAAATTATGATTCTAATGCTGTTTTAATATGACGTTATAATTTTAATCATTCGGCATTGTCCCTTTACATTTTTCAAACCATTTTGACTTATTTTAACTTGTCCTCCGCTAGGTCCAGTTCCAGTTTGTCCTGTTGACCGACACCCTCTACTCCCCACTCCCTGCTGACCTACTATCTGCTGAAGACCGAGACGACTCTCGCCCGTTCCCCAAGACCATTGTAGCAGTGGAGGTTCAGGACACCAAAAATGGTGCCACCCACTACTGGAGCTTGGAGAAGCTCAGGTAAGATTGATATTCAACCTAGCAAGCCAATTTTTCTAACTGTATAATCATTAGATTTTTTGTTTGTTTTAGTTCTGACCTCATGGCTTCATATTATTTTGTAAAAAAAAAAAATTATAATTAGCTCAATAATATCATTGATTTTTTATAAAATTTAGCTACAATATGAAAAAAAAAATGACCATCTGAGTTTTACAAAAAAATGATTAAAATAAAATATTTAAAATTTTAAAAAGTAAATATTTTTTCTTTACACAACTACTTGGCAAGAAAATTTAGAGCTAAACCTCATGTCATGTGCAGAGCATTTATTCTTTGTCTTCTGTTGTCTGTTGATTTTTAAATCCCTTCCTTGGTCATTAACTTCCCTAGACTTTTTAGGAATGATCAAAGGGTTGCATTCTTTATAGGCGTTAATTCATTTGTGGCATACGTGTTAAGTTTTTTAAGTTCTGGTTCCTGCACATTTTATTTTTTTTACATTTAAACGGTGAATCAATTTTAAACACTAATATTTGTGTATTAATTTATTAGAAAATGCATCTGTAATAAATCATTATCTAAAGTTATATTTTGTTTTGTTAGTTTTATTGCAAATTATTTAGATAAAACATTTTTAGCATTTTGTTTTGTTTCGTATGCTGTAATATTTATAAAAAAAAAAGATAGCTGTTTTGTATTTAGCTGAGCATGAGAGTTAGAGTTGTCATGAGCAAAAAACTTCACAAGGTTGCTGGTCATTTTTTTGTGTATGTTTATTTTTTATTTTCAAAAGTGCACAAAACATAAACAGTTTTCAAAGAATATTTTATGGTCCCCACTTCCTGTTCATTTTTTTTTTATTACTGGCTCAATTCAGGGAGAGGTCAGTCTGACTTTACCTTTGCTTGGCATCTCAGTGTTTTTTCCTTTAGTTGAGTCAACTTTTTAGTTTGGAAATCTTATTTATTTTAGTCATATAAATGTATGTTGACAACCATATTAAATCCAACATGGCTTCCCTATTTTTTTTTTAAGCAAACTTATTTACTATAGATTCTCAATACTTTTAAAAACTTGAATTATAATCAAATAGATGTTTTTTTTTATAGAATAAAATATAAAATTGATTTTGTGATTTATAAAAAGAAAAATTTTAAAGATGTAGAACTGTTGTCTCAGTTTGAGAGGATAGAGTATTCGTGTGGTCACACCTGACGCAAATCAGACGTGAAATTAGCTAGCACAATGTGTGTTCTTCGTTACATGTTCTCTCATAGGACTACATCTCTTCCAATTCAAAGTTAAAATTCAAAATTTTTCTAAAATTTAGAAAAAAAAAAATTTAATTTGTTCTGTTTAAATGGCTTCACATTTTAGCTTAGTCTCTTTCTGAATTTAAGTGATCTCCTTTTGACTGATCAGAGAGTTTTTTTTTTTATTTCTTTAAATGCTGCCTACTCGGACCTTCCCATACCTCCATCACTGCCCCTTTCCTACACCTCAATCTAATTTTAAATAAATTAATTCCTCTTAAAATCTTCCCGGATTTAATAAAAAAATAATTTAAAACTACTTCACATCCATCTATCCTTGGTGTTTGGAATCCATTCCTTCAATCCTATTTTCCCTACCAATCCCTCAATCCCTTTGAATTAAAATCAATCCCTGGTGTATGATGGATGGATGGGTAACATAGACACCGTCTAACCATGATGCGAGAAATTTACAATGAAGATCTCTCCCCGGACACTCCTGAGGCTAAGCAGGACATATTCCACTGCCTCTCTGCCTGTGGCCAACAAAACGTATTTAATTTTCGCACCCTCATTCCTTCAAGGTCAGGGAACTTTATATATTATTTGTGTTTAGCTGTGTACACTTTGTTGTTCTATTTCAGTTTTTGTTCCATATATTGAATCCATATTTTTAATTTCTGTTTTCTTTTTGTATTGTTTATTTTTGTGTTCTATATTATTTATTCAGTGGTTTTTGTATGCTTTTTTGTATTTAGTTTATTAATAGCTTTTGTTTGTATATATCATTATATATGTATTATTAAATGCTTTAACTGTGGATGCTTCTATTAAGTAATATCTATTTAAATATTTTCATTATAAAGATTGTTTTTTTTTAAATTATGAAATAAAACTAATTGTCTAGTTAAGTACTTGGTACATGAGTATGGTAGTCTATGATCAGTACACACAAACTATGGCTTTCAATTTAAATCTTTTTTGTTTGAAAACTGGCCAAACTGTAATTTCTACACTCTCTCTTTTCCCAAACTATTGAAAAAAGTTATGGTTCCTGGACAAGACCTTGGTGAATTAATCTTATTTAAAGCAGTGTTTATAGCTACATAATGCTACTCTCTAGGTTTTATTAAACTGCCAGTTCATCTAAAAAAAATGTGAGGTCGTGTAATTTTTATAAATAAAAATTTATAACAGCTTTTCTTTGTAATGACTCAATTTAAAAAAAAAATTCTTTTATTTGATGTTTTTTGTGTAAGCAATGTTTATATGTTTTCTAAAGCTAGATATGTATATACTTTTTGTATTTCCATTGTTCCATGTTTTTTTTTAATAGATACTTTTGTAAAATGTGCTCAGAAATAAGATCATTTCAAATTAATTTTAAAAAAATCATCACTCTGCTGACAAACATTTTCTAAGCAACATTAATATCAGTTTTTTTTTATGTTTAAACAATTAAAATAAAAGATAGAAAATCTGCAACACAGTTAAAATAAATAATGGTTAAATTGCTTTTTAAAAAATCTGTAATGAAATTTGGCAACATTATTTAAACAAACAGTGGTTTTTAAAGAAGGAAAATTCTCGAAGTAGATTGGCATAACCCATCCAGTACTTGGAAGGCTTGTTTGTCTTTGTCAAAATACTTAAGATAACTCTATATTTTTTATTTTGGTTAATAATTTTTTGGAAGAATGTTGAGAAAATTGTTTAAACCTTCTTCTATAAGTTACAAATTTTTACTACGTTAATAAAGTCTTATGTAAACAAGAATATTTTAAAATAATATTTACTGTCAAAAAAGTAAGAAAAATCTTAGCTTTAAATGTTTTATTTCGTAATGTAGCATGCATGTGTATAAGTTCATGGACATTTTTTGTGGTATTCTGTCTGAATGTTTGTCTTGTCAGTATTTGCTTGTACTTTGTCTTGTCAGTATTTGCTTGTACATGCTCTGTCCATGGAATGTATTACATATTTTTGTTTGTCAGCGTTTTGCTTGACATGCTATGTCTATTGAATGTATCACAAACTCGTGTTTAAATGTTTGTCAGTGGTTGCCTGTATGTAATATGTATGTTCTATGTATGTATTACAAATTAATGTTTGAATGCTTGTGATTGTTTGTACTTGATATTTCCATGGAATATGCCTCAGATTCCTGTCTGTTTGTCTGTCTGTTTGCTTGTACATGGCTTGTCCACTAAAACCTTGCTGATGTTAATTGCCCATTGGAACTCTAGATAAATAAGGAGTTTGTGACTAAACTCAGAATAGCACATAGTGCAAGAAGTGGAATTGCACAAAGGTTCTTGCAAGAAACAAATGAGCTGCTCGCCTCTAGAGATTACCTCACATATCACTTTTTACTTTTGTGATTTAATTAAAATCCAACTTTTTTAGATTCTGTTTTTAAAATAAACCGGGAGTGATCTCCCCTAAACTTTCTCGAATATTTTTATATAAAATAACAGGGGATGGGAACTCGGGCTATAGACATGATTTTTAATCCATTTTAAATACTTAAAGTTTTAAAAATAGAATAAAATCTCGTAGACAAATTAATTGCACACCAAGTGAACGCGAAATAAAAAAGCGCATAATAGTGCGCAATATTATTAGTACTTTTAAAATTTACATTAGTTTTTTGAGAAATCGGAAGTGGCGTAAATTACTACTTCCAGTCAACGGAAATTACTCAAAATTTAACAGAAGGTAGAGAATTAGATCTTTTACTTACATGTGAAATTTCATTTATCTATCTGAAATAGTACTCAAGTTATAGGCTTTAAAAAAATTCAAAGTAGGAAAAGTACCACTTCCGGTTATCGGAAATCGCTCAAAAGTTGATACGGATCTACGATTTTGATGAAATACTTATATATGAAATTTCATCAACCTAGCTGTAACGGTACTCAAGTTATCGTGTTTACACACGGACAGACAGACAGACACACACACACACAGACATACGGACAGAATTGCAACGCCCAGTTTTTCAAACTGGATTACGCATAAAACCTCTTAATTTTGATAAATCTGGATTGATAATTTTTGCCCGATTAAAATAAGTCCTCTATACTTCGGATGTGATGAAGGACTGAGGTGTAATACGGTAAAAATTGTTAAAATTTCAATTGATTTTTGTGCACGATTACAATACTTTCTCTATACTTCGTATATACGAGAAAGTAAAAAAAAGAGAGCAGCTGATTTGTTTCTTTGATAATGTGTTATGAGTTTTTAGTTTTTCTCCCCTTTTCATATTTGAAATTCTGCATTATTTAGCACACTCAGTTTTTGTTGCTACCATTTTGCTTGAAGAAGAAAGAAACATGATAAAGGGGCAGTTTCTATTTTATTAGAAATATTTAAAAAATCTAATTCTATCATTTTTAACCATACAGCCATTTTCGGTTATTTTTTTTTTTCATAGTCAGTAAAAAAGCAATATTCTCATCCTTCATTTAGCTTAATTAAAATTCTTTTTTTTTTCTTCGCTCAGTCATTTTTTTTTATCATTGTGTATCATATTTGCTTTTTTTTTCAAGCATCCATATCTTTTAAAATCATTTTCATTGAGTGTTTTTTAATTTTTAACTCTTGAAGAGTTCTACTGTTATTTATAAATAAAATCTGTAAGCTTATTATAGATTAAATGTAGAGTACCCCTATCTTGGTGAAACTTTTATTCTACAATAAAATATCAATTTAAAAAAAATTTAAGATAACGTTTTTTATTACTTCAAAAAATAAATAATAACTCCTAATAATAATGTTTTGGAATAAAATACATAAATGTAAAGCCATGTTAGTTAGCTACAGTTTTTAAATACTATATTTTTAAGTTGTACGTTGCATTGTATGCACATTGCTTAGCATACAAATATAACTTTGAATCATATTAACTAAATCTGTATTCCATAACTGTTCTAACTGTAGACAAAGGCTGGAGCTGATGAGAGAAATGTACCACAATGAGGCAGAGTTATCTCCTACTTCTCCTGAGCCAAACATAGACAGTATGACTGGTGGTGACCCCTTCTATGATCGCTTCCCTTGGTTCAGATTGGTTGGGAGGTAAAACATTTTGTAAATGTCAAAAACAACACATTTAAAATTAAATAAATATTTTACACATTGTGCTAAAACTATTGAGACATTTTTAATTTGCAGAATAAATTCTAGCCTGAAGTTAAAATGTTACATATTTAAAAATGAAATTAATTCTATTCAGTTTATCAACTATTACAATAAAAAAAAGAAATACAGTCAAATATACTCATTTTAAAATGTAATAGAAAATTTAAATACAACCAACAAAATTATGTTTTTACTCCTATTTATTCCTGTTTGCGAATGTGCTTTGTTTTATTCATGTGTGTGAATGTGCTTGCATTTTTATGCATTTTATGACTGTGACCTAATGAAGAAACCATTTTGTTTCCCAGAGCATTTGTCTACCTCAGCAACCTGTTCTACCCAGTACCCCTGGTACATCGTGTAGCCATTGTCAACGACAAAGGTGATGTCAAAGGTTACCTGAGAATTGGTGTTCAAGCCATTACAGGTGAGCTGTCTTTACCCCAACTTCAAACCTAGATGTCATAATATGATAGTCATAATTCACACAGTCAAAGATCACAGTATTTTATGAAAATAAGCTAAGTAGTCTATTCCTATAAAGGGAACAAAGAAAAAAATACCAAACACGGGACAAACCCAGAAAAGTTAAAAAATGAAAAGGAGAGAAAATAAAATGATTATTCAGAATTAAACATTTATTTTTTATGCCTATTGCCTGATACGTTTTTTGAGGTTTTTGAATAATAAAAGAAATGAAAAAGATGTCAACGCACAAAGAATATGTTCACTTACACTGGCAAACGAAAAAAATTTAAATTCACACCTTGTTAAAATTAGGTAAATTTTGCCTATCTGCAGATAAAGATGACATGCAGGAATTCTCACCTGGCATCAAACAGTCTGGAAATGCCAAGATCACTTTCAGTGATGAAGAATACTTCAACAAGGTAAGCACAACTGCAGTTGTTATCCTGCTGTCTAGCCAGATTTTTGTCAGAAATAAACTTACGAAATGCTAAACATTCTTGTTAACGATTCTTTGGAAGAGTATATCCAAACAGAATTCTGAGGGAAATGAACATCCAGCACTGGTGATCAGAGACTAAATGGATGGGAAAATTTGATTGTATAATGCCTAAATATTTTGGTTAATCTGTTTATAAAAATAAAATTTAAACAAATATTTAACATACTTGAATAAGTTAAAATACAATAAAAAGTAAAAAAAAATATTCACCTCAAACAGAAATGTATACTCTTCACCAATACCCATTCAGTTAGCTGGAACACCTGTTTATTGCATATTTCTTTTATTTGGCTTTAGAAAACATGTCAAAATTTTTCTCCCATAATGCATCTTAAATTTTTTTTTAGAAACAGGTGCATGCTCATAAGCTTCACTACACTGTTTTATACTTACTTTTAGAAGCAGGTAGAAACCATAAGCTTCCATACATTTATCTGCAATATGTGTTATTTGCTTTTATGAATGTTTAAGCTAAGAGCTTCCTTAAGCTTTAATAGACTATTTTATTCTTAATTTTAGAAGCAAGTCGGAACCACAAACTTCCATACATTGAACTGCAATGTGTGTTAAATTTACTTTTAAAAAGAGGTCCATGCTACAAACTTCCATAAGCTTTTTTTTTCAATACACTCTATTTTATACTTGCTATTAGAACCAGGTTGAAACCAAAAACTTCTATATATTGAACTGCAATATGTGTTATACTTTCTTTTAGAAACAGGTTCAAGCTACAACCTTCCATACATTGAACTGTAGTGTGTTATACTTTCTTTTAGAAACAGGTTCAAGCTACAACCTTCCCACTACCACCAGGGGTAGATAAGCCTGTAGACACCATGGTGTCATCACTGGAGGAGCTTAGAATTGTGGAAGGGGAAGGGCAGACAATTGACAATGCACTGCTTGCCTCAGGTATAGATTTCACATGGTGGCTTTAAAAGTAAAAATTTTTTGCGGGATATTTGATGTTTCATAACAAAACAATAAATACAAACTTATTTGTTTTGTAATCTATTTTTGTCAAATTTCAATAGTAAATGTTCCCAAAAAAAATTAGTACGAAAGAAATTTTTAAAATGTTTTAAATGATTAAACACATTTTTTAACAAATAGAAGCCTATATGATTTATTTATTTTTTCCTTCACAAAATGAATGTTTGTAAATTGATTAGCTCAGCTACATGTTTTAAAATGTACACAGTGATGAGTTTGAGTTATGCATTTAAAACGCCTACCTCAAAAATATGAGAATAGCACACAAAAACATTTTTAGTTAAAAAAAAAAAACCAATGAATTACCAAGAACTAAATATCTGACCAGAAAACCATCACATGGATTCAGACAACAAGACCAACAGTCAGTATGGAAAGTTTGATTACTGTCCAGAGATGAGCACCACTGACCTTCCGGAACATCTGACCATTGGGAGCCAGTTCCAGTTTAGGGTCACCATCCTGCAGGCTTCCAACATATCTCCGGAATACGCGGACATATTCTGTCAGTTCAAGTAAGTACTGACATATGGTACTGACATATTCTGTCAGTTCAAGTAAGTACGGACATATGGTACTGACATATTCTGTCAGTTCAAGTAAGTACTGACATATAGAGCTGACATATTCTGTCAGTTCAAGTAAGTACTGACATATAGAGCTGACATATTCTGTCAGTTCAAGTAAGTACTGACATATGGTACTGACATATTCTGTCAGTTCAAATAAGTACTGACATATTCTGTTAGTTCAAGTAAGTACTGACATATGGTACTGACATGTTCTGTCAGTTTAAGTATGTACTGACATATTTTGTCCTGTTCTGTTTGATGCTAGCATAATTAGTTCACTCTTAGAAAAGGAAGATTATACCTTAACATATTTTATAGTTAAAAGAAAACTAAGGTAAATATTAATTGTGAAAATTTAATTGCATAAAAAATTTATCTAATAAATTATCTCAAAATGTCATTGTGAAATTGTAACCGGATATAAAATTAACTTTAATAAACCGGGAGTGATCTCCCCTAAACTTTCTCGAATATTCTAATATAACATTACGTGGGATGTCAACTCGGAATATAGACATGATTTTTGTTTACTTAAACTTTTAAAAATAGAATAAAATCTAGTTGAAAAAAAAATTGCGCACCAAGCGAGCACCAAAACCAAATGTGCGTAATAGTACGCAATATTATTAGTACTTTATAAATTTACATGCGTTTTTTGAGAAATCGGAAATAGTGTAAATTAGTACTTCCGGTCAACGGAAATTACTCAAAATTTGATAGAAGGTAGAGAATTAGATCTTTTACTTTCATGTGAAATTTCATTTATCTATCTGAATTAGTACTCAAGTTATAGGCTTTTGAAAAATTCAAAGTAGAAAAAGTACCACTTCCGGTTATCGGAAATCGCTCAAAAGTTGATACGGATCTACGATTTTGATATAATACTTATATATGAAATTTCATCAACCTAGCTGTGACGGTACTCAAGTAATTGTGTTTACACACAGACAGACACACAGACACACACCCACACACACACACAGACATACGGACAAGATTGCAAAATTATGTTTTTCCGTATCAGTGAGGTGTAAAACATCGAGATTTGTAAAAATCTCGATTTTTTTTTTGCATGATTACAATACTTTCTCTATACTACGTATAATATACGAGAAAGTAAAAATGTTAATGTATTTGAAAAAATTTCATTTGATATTTCAGCTTCTTACATCGTCACGATGAAGCTTTCTCCACTGAACCACTGAAAAACACAGGGAAAGGCCCTCCATTAGGATTCTACCATGTGCAGAATGTAAGCAAAATATTCAACTTTTTCTCCTTATTCTCATACATTTGATTTTTTGTTGAAATAAACAAGAATTCTTGAATTTCTCCAAAGAAATCAAACAAAGCACTAAAAAAATTTTCAACAAAGGAACATTTATTTTCCTTACACAATTAAATATTTTGAATTTTTTAAAGAAAAACAGAAATCACTAAACAAAATAAAACTTAAATTTTTGATGTTTCAGAACAATCTTGTACTGTGATTTTTACCACACGTATCTTAGAATCTTTATATTATATGCTAGCATTTACATACAGCTACAAAAAACATAATAAATCAAGTTATTCTATATTATAAAATTAAAGTTGATTTATTGATTTATATAATACATTTTCCTTAGTGATAATTTCTTTTATTTATTTTTTTCAGTTCACTGTGACAGTGACCAAATCTTTCATTGACTACATCAAGACCCAGCCCCTAGTGTTTGAAGTTCTGGGACATTATCAACAGCATCCACTGCATGAACAGGCCAAGGACTGTCCATAGTTAGTGATGTTTTTTTTTCTTCACTTGACTGCTTACTTTATTTTTTAATCTAACGCTCAAAGGGATTAAAATTACAATCAGCTATATCTTGATGTTGAGGGGACAATGTGCCCTAGTGGTTGAACGCTAGACAGCTAATCAGAAAGTCTTAAGTTCGCATCTGGGTTCAAGAATGTCCCTGAGCCCTCCCAGCTATGATGGGTACCTAACTTACGTTAGTGCTGACCACACTATCCCTTTATATGCCCAGGTAACAGGAACAGGTGAACTCTACTTCACTTGCCCCATTGACTGTGAGGTTCAAAAAGGGAACTAACTACTACTTCTACCATATCTTGATGTTACAGTTAAATTGTATTTTCCCCACGTTGTGAAGACTACATTACAGTATAATGTTGATTATGCAGCAATTTCATGTACATGCAATCCAACAACAGTTAACACACTTTCCTAATGATGATTTTTGCAATGATGTTTTAAGTAAGTTTACATTTCCCATCTTTATGGGAACCCCACAGTAAGGGTGAAAATATTTTCTTAGTTTATTGATGGTGCATTTCTTACTTTTGCAAAATATTAATATTATATTCTTATTACTTTGTTGGCATAGAAGTGATCTAACAGGATGATAACTGAATTCATTTTCTAATCATCACTTGTATTTCCTATTGCAGAATTTCCTATTAGAGTGTCTTACAATCCCTTGTATTTGTCTTACCATCACTTGTATTTATCTTACCATTACTTGTATTTGTCTAATCATCACTTGTATTTGTCTTACCATCACTTGTATTTGTCTTACCGTCCCTTGTATTTCCTATTACAGTGTAAGACCCCCACTTGTATTTGTCTTACCGTCCCTTGTATTTCCTATTACAGTGTAAGACCCCCACTTGTATTTGTCTTATCATCCCTTGTATTTCCTATTACAGTGTAAGACCTCCACCAAGCCGAAGCTTCCCAACAATGCCAGTATCAAAACCAGTCCCCTCTCCAAAGTATGGCATCATCGCCCCATCCAGGTAGGGCACCAAACACTTTATGTTGTAAAACTCCAGGGTAAATTTGCGATAAGTGTGTCAATGTTTTTATTTGAGCTTGTCAAAACAAGGCAGAACAAGTACTGTTGTGTTGTTGTTAGTCTTCACAATAAAAGTGCTGCAAATTTCTCAACTGATGCATTAATGCACTATTTAAATTTTCAAACAAATTTTCTAGTACGGTTGTGTTGTGTTGGTGATAGTCTTCACAATAAAACTGCTGCGAGTTTTTGCAACTGATTCATTAGTGCACTATTTAAATTTTCAAACAAATCGTCAAGTCTTTAGTCAAAAACCAAATCATAAATTAAATCACTGGTTGTATAAAATTAGCACTAGGTTTAATGATGTGTAGTAATGAATATTTTAAAAATAATTTTAAAAAGTAATTGAAAGTAATACATTAATGTGTAGTTGAAAATATTACACTTGCAGCATTTTATGTGAGCCTAACAAAAAAATACATCACAAGTACTTTTTTTAGCTTGTCTTATTTTACTTTTGTTAAAGTTTAAAAGTTTTGCTCTGTGATTGATCTTATACTTTTACAGTTTACTTCTTGGTGTGTTTTTAATAAAAGTCATTTATTATTTTTTAAATTAAGTTATTATTGAAAATTATGAATGTAATTAAGGCTGATTAAAGAATTGTAAGCTGACAGAAATACCTGGCAACTGTTTCTATTGCCTGTCTGTCTTTGCTCAATTTTCTGACAAAATCCCAACTTTGTGGGTGATTTTTTTTCCTGCCCCCTTGACCATTTAAAAACTACAATAGACTGTTCTATTTAAGCCACCACTGACCTGTTTGAAAGAATTAATGGTTAGGATTAGGGTCTTTAGCCATGAAATTATTTCTGTTGGTAAATGTTGTTTGGTAAAACACTTATATATCATTGAAAAAACTAGGCATGGGTGTACATAATCTATTCATATGTGGTCGCAAATGGTTCATGATTGTATTTAAGAGTTTAGATTTAATTATAACGCAGGGAAATTTTAAAAAATGTTGTAATTGTATTTGTATGTGTGAATAGCTTGCAGCCTTAAAGATTGCAGCTTGAGCATGTTGATTCCACATTATTTTTACATTTGCTTTAAATATATTCCCCTTTTAAAATTGATGATCTATAGTCTGTCAAAAACAGGAGTGAATTAAGCACAAGAAAAACATGCATGTGTGTTGTTAAAACTTTTCTTGTTTTTGAAATTTGGTTGCATTTGTTTACATACAAATCACCTGAATGTGTGCTAGCTGTTGTAGTAGGCTTGCAGTTTTTTTTTGTTAATTCGCTGTTTGTCTAGTTGTGCCCCCTACATGTTGTTTTGCAGTAAAACAGAAGATAGTAAAGAAGAGAATGTAGATGAGGAGAAAAAGAGAAAAAGGAAAGAACAAGACAGGTATTATCTCCCTTGGTCATTTTAAACTAGATTTATTCCCCCTGGATCACTTTTTAAAACTTTAGCTCTGAAGTTTAGTAGAATGATATCATAAACTGTTTTAAAAGAACTTAATTTCGAAGTACAAAAAAAAAGAATGAAGAAGTAAGCTACTTACTTATATTAAAAATTATTTCATGTTCAGATTTAAACACAATTTTTTTATTACTTTACTTATTTCATCAAACTGATTATTAAAAAAATCCAAAAAAAAAAAGTTACCACCTTGATGCAACATTTTTAAAATTTAATTTTCATTGTTGGCAAGTAAAAGATCAAACTATTTTTGCTGATGAAAAGTTGATGAAAAAGCAAATTATTTCTTACTTTTGCCAAATGTTTTTTATTTACACCCCCTGCATGTCAGAAGCTATTTCTTACTAATTTTGTATTCTACAAGTTAAATGAATGAAATAAATATCCTAAATTTCCCCTTTTAGCATTTATCTCAGCATTAAGAAATCCCTTGCATTTTCCTATTTTCACCAAGAATGTTTCAAACCAATTTTAACCAATTAAAGGAGTATATTTTTTTACTTAAAAGCCCAAAACAAATTGTTAACTTTTTTCACCATTAATATCTAGGTCATTAATACTGAAAGTGAAATCACCAGTAAGAGAAGGGTAAGGCTCATGCTAACAAACTTTGCCTACTCATAATTTGGGCTTACCAGCATGGTGCGCATGGGAATGGTGCGCTTTGCTATTTTTTTTAACTTTGGTGCTGTTTATTCTTCATTACAAAATGGCTACTCTGTAGTTAAAGCTAGGAACAGGTGTTGCTTTTTTCTTCAGACACATTAAAACTTATTAACTTCTAATAATATACCCTGTAATACAATTAAATTAACACCTTAGTATGAATCAAATATATTTCCTTGTGAAAGTAGGATTATTTGTATTAAAAAAAGACTGAAATATTTTGTTTGCTAAGAAAGCAAATAATATATTACTAATATATATATGTATATATATATATATATGTATATATATATATATATATATATATATATATATATATATATATATATATATATATATATATATATACACACATTAACCCCTTCGCTGTACATGACTGTAATGATGAATTGTTGTACAACAATCAAAAAATGTTTTTAAATGTTCATGACAAATAACATAGGTAAAAGTGTTAATTTGTTCATGTTTTTTTAACATGTTAAAGCTACCAACTGTACTGTATTGTACCAGTGCTCTGGTACTTTATATACAAAATGTGTACTCTAAACTTAGACCATCTCATTCAAGTGTTTGTCTTATGAAAACACATGAAGGTGTTTTATATTTTATTTTACTTATATAATGACTGGTTATCACAACTCAAACTTAAATTCTTGAGTTTATGTGACCTATACTGGTCTATGTATAATTTATATTCTGTTCAATTTCTTATTTGACTATTAAATGATATATGATTAATTATGAAAAACAAAACTAGTCAGCGGAAACTAAAATAGTCAGCTATAAGCTGCCACAAAGATGGATTATCATAATTGTTTCTTTAAAGCTTACACTATTACATTACTATCTGAAGCTGAGTTTTTAAAAAAATGCCAAAGGAAAAAAACAAAAATAATTGTTAATTTAAATGTATTAAATAATTTAACACAAAAAAGAATGCATGCTTCTGTTGTAATTATTACATAAGGCTTATTAACTAATTAGCTAGAACTGGCTTTTTATTTTAATGACAAGTTTGATTGACATTAACACTATATGTGTTCTCTGACAAGGATATCTCTCTGAAATTACAGCATGGAAACATATTTCACCCACTAATTGTTTTACTTAACTATAAATATTTTCTGATTGGATTTAATAACAACAAGCACAATATTTGCAAACAAAAGAGGTGCCTTATCTAATTAATTTTGAGGTGTCATGCATGGCTAACTTTTTCTTTACTAACTAGAAGAAAAAAAACTAATATTAATTTCATATTAATTTTCCTCATTAGTTTAGATTATTTCAAAATCAGTTAATAGCTAAGTCTTCTTTAAGTTAATTAAGCTTTGATGCGAATTAACATTATTGATTTCACATTTTTTTTTTATATCACTGCTTAAAAATATGTTACGCTTGCTTTTTATGTAAATGTACTTAATGCTATTTTTCAATACAATTTTAATAATGATTATTGCTTATGTAAATAATTTCAGCAACCTTGTGTTATTATATGTTACAATTACAATCTGGTAGGCCTATTATTAAAAATTGTTGCATTAGTTCAATATAGTAGTAGTCAAAATTTATAATTTAAAAATGTAGAATAAGTGTGCTCGTAAATGCTGACTATATATTTATGGTCAATTTTTTTTTCTCTTATATTTTAGCTCCAGCCCAGTCCACTCCCAGTGTGACCTGCTGGTCTGGTTTGAGATTTGTGAGCTGGCACCAAATGGAGAGTAAGTCATGTTTTTGTTTAAGTGCTCTGAGATTTTAATTACAATGTGTCACTATAATTTTACCATAGGAATTAATTCGTTTATTTAAGGTCTGTTTCATGTGGCACGTATCAGCAACCCCAACTCTGTCGTACCTAATGTTATTATTTTTAACAAAAGTGTTGAGAAACATAAATTTTGATCGTAAATATGAATTTCCTGATATGAACACCATAGCTCAGCATTTATAAATAACTTTGTGTCTTTGGATTTATTCAGTCCAATATTTTACCATATACCCACATATTTTTTTACATTGAGGTTGTATTATTGAATGATGTATCTAGGTATATTACTATTGAATTTGTATTATTGACTGATGTGTCTAGGTATGTTACCATGGAAGTTATATTATTTAATGATGTCTCTGTTTTGATTGTGGTTGTATTATTGACTGATGTTTCCAGGTATGTTCCTGTGGTAGTGGACCACTCTGATGATCTGCCCACTCGGGGCATATTTATGCTGCATCAGGGCATCCAGCGTCGGCTAAGAATCACCATAGTTCACGAGAAGAGAACCCACTTTGCTTGGAAGGATGTCCGTGAACTGGTTGTTGGTACGTTTTAGTTTGTCAACTGTTTAGACATACTGAAAAAAATAGGTCAAGTATCAACCCATTGTCATTTATCAATTAAAAATTAAAGTTCCCTAATTTCATAGTCAGCAAGACTAGCAATTTTTGCAATATACAGTATCATTTGTCTTGCTTTTATGTTATAGTTGTGTTTTTTTATATGCTTTTATTTTTATCAACCATATAAAAAATTTCAGACGGATTTCTTAAATAGTAAAAAAGTTTTCAGAAAAAATTGATGAAATAATCAATTACATTTTTAAAAGCAATTTTTTAAAAATAATGAAACTATTTCAGGTCGTATAAGGAACACGCAAGAGTTTTATGATTATGATATTGAAACGACTGTGTTATCCCTGGGACTTTTCCCTGCACACTTCCTGCAGTATCAGAATGATGACAGGTCAGGCTTTTTCTTTTCTAAATGTTCCTATTGAACAGTCTAGAACACAGGGGATGGTGTGTTTGCGAGTTGAGTTTAACCCCGGGGATGTTTATGTATTTTTATCCCAATGTCAAATGCAGGTATATAAAAGTTGAGTGAACAGTTGTATGTGGGGGTGGATTTTTAGATTACATCTAGGGCATTACTGTGTAGTGTGTTGAAACAGGAAGAAATAAAGTACTTAACAGTGCATTGCGTCATGTTGTGACGTGCATAAAAAGGAGTCTCAACAACTGTACAACTGTGGCTAATTTTATATTCATTTAGTCAAATAAAGTATTAACTTGAAGGTAATTTTAGTTAATCTAAAATTAAATTTTTTAAATTTTATATTCATTTAGTCAAATAAAGTATTAACTTGAAGGCAATTTTAGTTAATCTAAAATTAAATTTTTTAAATTTTATATTCATTTAGTCAAAGTATTAACTTAAAGGCAATTTTAGTTAATCTAAAATTAAATTTTTTAAAATTTTATATTCATTTAGTCAAATAAAGTATTAACTTGAAGGCAATTTTAGTTAATCTAAAATTAAATTTTTTAAATTTTATATTCATTTAGTCAAAGTATTAACTTAAAGGTAATTTTAGTTAATCTAAAATTAAATTTTTAAAATTTTATATTCATTTAGTCAAATAAAGTATTAACTTAAAGGTAATTTTGGTCAATCTGAAATTAAAATTTTAAAATTGTATATTAAAGTTGTGTTTTGATATGTTCCAGAGTATTTTTCCAGTTTGAAGCAGCCTGGGACAGCTCGCTGCATAACTCCGTCATGTTGAACAGGGTGACAGCCTATGGGGAGAAGGTTTATATGACACTGTCAGCATACCTCGAGGTTTGAGTTTTATTTTTTTTTATTGGTTATCTTGGGTTTTACAAGATGGACCTTAAAGTTTTACTTAGCATTTGGACCTTAAGGTTTTACATGGCATTTGGACCTTAAGGTTTTACATGGAATTTGGACCTTAAGGTTTAAAGATAACATGGTTGATGGAGAATTTGGATTATCTCCTTTTCCTTTATATGAAAAAAAATAGTATAGTTTCAATGTAATTTTAAAAACACTAAAACTAATTCTATTTTTATTTTGCATTTTAAAAAGTGTAGTTTTTATCTATTTAAATTATAAAAGAAATGTTTTAAACAACTATTTATTGTTTAAAAAAATGATTATGAACATTCTTTATTTCACTTTTTTCTTTGTTTACATAATTTGCAAGGTTTTACAGTAGCTGTATCATTAAAAGCATCATCTATCTCTCCTAATACAAAACTGCTGCTGTATAAACAATTAGCATGTATTCTACTAGCTGTATCACTAAGACATCTTCTATCTCTCCTAACCATTTAGAACTGCTGTTTAAACAATTTACATGTATTCTACTAGCTGTATCACTAAGACATCTATCTCTCCAAATCATTTAGAACTGCTGCTGTATAAACAATTAGCATGTATTCAACTAGCTGTATCACTAAGACATCATCTATCTCTCGCTACAGGTAGAGAACTGTGCCCAGCCTGCCTGCATCACCAAGGACCTTTGTATGGTCGTCCACTCCAGAGACACCAAAATATCTGCTCCAAGGTACTTTATGGTCACAACATCAACATAATGTACACAACATCACCTCATCTTACCACACTACACCCTCATCTTTGTGAGCTGTCTAATAAAATGGGATGTAAAAAATTTATAGAATAAGTGGTGTACCTGCGCATCTATACCCAAGCTGTCTGATAAAATAGGATGAAAAAATATGTAGAATAGGTGGTCTCTCTCCTGTGGTATTGTATGGTCACCACATCAACACATTTGTTGCTGGTTCTAAAGATATGAAATTAAAAAAAAGCAAGAGTCTTACCACATCTAGGTTATACTTTCTGTAAAGTGAGTTAAGTTCCCTTTCAAACCTGATGGACTATAGGGCAAGTGGAGTAGAATTAACTTGTTTCTTAGACCTCTGCATAATAACGGATGGTGTGGTCATCACTTTGTCCAGCCGCCTTTATTTTCCCTATCTAACATGAGTTAGATACCCATCAGAGCTGAGTGGACTCAGGGACAATCTACTAACTTGACCCCAGATTCGAACTTGCCACTTTCGAGTTAGCAGTCTAGTGTTCTACCGGCAGGCCACAAGTCTCTTATACTTTCTATGAGACAGATGATAGTGTGGTTTCTAAGATATGTTTTATTTCCTGATCAATTATCAATATCATTAATTGAAAAAAAATGTTCTCATTAATTTGATGGTATAATTATTCACACCAATCATTTCCTGTGCATTATATACCTATGAGTCATTCATTTTGATATTTGTTGGTTTGCCTTGGACCCCTGTGAAATTTGTAGTTAGTGATGTTTGTTTTATAGACCATCTTTATCTTTATTGCAAATTTACAGTTTAAATGTCAAAGAAAAAAAATAATTTTTGTTTAGATAAATGTAACTGTTTTTAGAATAATTATTCTTATTTGATTACTAGTAGTTAATTTTCTAAGTTTAAAAAAAAAAGTAAAAAATAATATACTGCATTAAACTTTGGAGTATGGTGATTTATAGTTCATGTGTACTTAAATTCACTAATTAGTTTTAATTTTTGATGAGCAAAAAATCACAAATGCAAAACTTTTTAAGTAGGCCCAATAGCTAAGGCTGCAGTTTATTTTGTTTCGTGATTATTTTGTTCCCAGTGATAAGTGACATTCTGTTTTTCATTAGTGTCAGTGAATTGAGTGGTTATTTTTTTTTCTTTTGCTTGCGGCCACTGTTTTAAGTTAGTCAAAAGTTGTTTAACCAAAGCAGTAATAAAAATTTAACAAAAAAAAAATTAAAAGTAAGATTAAGTGTTTAAACCTAATGAAATGGAAAAAGAAAATATCTGTTTAGCTGCTAATTTTCTTTTTCTCTTACAGAATATTATTTATGGGCTAACTGTTTTCTGGCTTTATCAACAATGTTTTTGTGAATTACAGCAGAAATATTCATATACTAAAATTTGAATGAAAATTATTTTTATCTCATTAATATATACACAATTCTAGAAAAAAAACCAAGTTGTTAATTGCACAATTTGAAAAAAAATATTATGGCTTTTGAAATTTTTACTAACATAAATGGGTGCTTTACAAAGACATTTAGAGATTTTCTTTTCTTCTTCTTCGTATAGATTAGACGTATTTTATTTGACTTTGTGTTAATTTTCCCGCATTGCTTAAGTCAGCAAGCGTGGTGGCTTGGTGTTGCATGTTATCATTAAAGAAGGGGTTCCCTCCCCTGACCGTCTCCAGTCCCCGTTTCAGGGCCCTGAAGAGTCTGTTTGGTGTGGCCAGGAACCCTGACTGTGGGAAAGTTTCTGGCATCTATGAGCTACTGCTGCGTCAGTATTCAGAATCAGGTAACTGACTCATGACTTTAAGTAAAGACATTATTCAGAATCAGGTAAATGACTCATGACTTTAAGTAAAGACAGTATTCAGAATCAGGTAACTGACTGCTGACTTTAAGTAAAGACAGTATTCAGAATCAGGTAACTGACTCATGACTTTAAGTAAAGACAATATTCAGAATCAGGTAACTGACTCATGACTTTAAGGACAGTATTCAGAATCAGGTAACTGACTCATGACTCTAAGTAAAGACAATATACAGAATCAGGTAACTGACTCATGACTTTATGTAAAGACAGTATTCAGAATCAGGTAACTGACTCATGACTTTAAGGACAGTATTCAGAATCAGGTAACTGACTCATGACTTTAAGGACAGTATTCAGAATCAGGTAACTGACTCATGACTTTAAGTAAAGACAGTATTCAGAATCAGGTAACTGACTCATGACTTTAAGGACAGTATTCAGATTATGTTATATGACTCATGACTTTAAGTAAAGACAGTATTCAGAATCAGGTAACTGACTCATGACTTTATGTAAAGACAGTCAGAATCAGGTAACTGACTCATGACTTTATGTAAAGACAGTATTCAGAATCAGGTAACTGACTCATGACTTTATGTAAAGACAGTCAGAATCAGGTAACTGACTCATGACTTTATGTAAAGACAGTATTCAGAATCAGGTAACTGACTCATGACTTTATATAAAGACTGTATTCAGAATCAGGTAACTGACTCATGACTTTATATAAAGACTGTATTCAGAATCAGGTAACTGACTCATGACTTTAAGTAAAGACTGTATTCAGAATCAGGTAACCGACTCATGACTTAAAGGACAGTATTCAGAATCAGGTAACTGACTCATGACTTGATATAAAGTCAGTATTCAGAATCAGGTAACTGACTTATGACTTGATATAAAGTCAGTATTCAGAATCAGGTAACTGACTTATGACTTTAAGGACAGTATTCAGAATCAGGTAACTGACTCATGATTGTAAGGACAGTATTCAGAATCAGGTAACTGACTCATGACTTTATATAAAGACAGTATTCAGAATCAGGTAACTGACTCATGAGTTTAAAGACAGTATTCAGAATCAGGTAACTGACTTATGACTTTAAGGACAGTATTCAGAATCAGGTAACTGACTTATGACTTTAAGGACAGTATTCAGAATCAGGTAACTGACTCATGATTGTAAGGACAGTATTCAGAATCAGGTAACTGACTCATGATTTTATATAAAGACAGTATTCAGAATTAGGTTACTGACCCCTGACGAAGTAATGACAGTATCCAGAATCATGTAACTGACTTCTGCCTCTAAGGACGACAGTATACACAATCAGGTAACTGACCCCTAACTGTAAGGACTGACACCTGACTCCAAGGACAGTATGAGTGATCAGGTAACAGGCAACTGATTATAATTAAAGACCAGTTTATACCAGTTCTAGTAACTATTAGTCTTTTCAGCTTGTGTTTTACTTTGATAATTCTTTGAGTACTTTATGAATCAGAAAACGAAAATTATTTTTTACAGCTTCACATAGTATTAGCCAAGTAATCCTATCATAGGCTTTTTCCTTTTAAATAAATGCAAAGTTTAAAATGAAAGTTTAATTCATGGCTATTTTAACACCTTGTGTTGTTGTCGCGACATTTTATAAATGGCAATGTCTCCCAGGAGTAGAGCGCAGACAGAGGAGAGTCCTGGACACTTCACTGACCTACGTGAGGGGTGAGGAGAACCTGAATGGCTGGAGGCCACGGGGTGACTCCCTGTTAGGTGACCACCAGTGGGAGCTTGAGAAACTGACCAGACTGCAATTGGTGAGGGCCTTGTTGTGAATGAAAGCAGACATGTTAAAGGGCAGTGACTCTAGCTTAAGATACATAACTCTGGTTACAGAAACAACTCTGGCTTTAGAAAAAAAAGAACTCTAGCTAAATGAAATCAACTGGATGTTTTTAAAAAAAAAACAACACTTTTAAATAAAGGTTATTAAATCCTACTGAAGAAAGAACATCTCAGCCAGTGAAAAAAATTAAGCAAAAAAATTTAACTGTTTATAATTCCCCCCCCCCCCTCTTCCATTAAAAATATGAACTTAATATCTTACAGCTTTGTAACATCAATTGTTCAGTTATTTCTTTTTTCAATTTATTCTAAACCCTTTAAAGACATCATTGCCAAAAACATACCATTAGCTGAAAATATATTTTTAAGTTTTTATTTTGTGGTCGCATCAGGCACGATGTATGAATATTTAGATTAAATGACAAAATTGTTTGTGTGCAGGTGGAGAAAACAAGACATGTGATTTTGTTAAGAGAGAAGCTGGCAGAACAGAACAAATCCATGGAGCTAAGCAAGTTGGACAAGGAGATTGTCAACAGACAGGCCAAGGTTGGTTCTCTATGGTGTTGGTTGTCAATAGGCCATGGTTGATTCCCTTTATTGTTGAAGTCTTCTAACACATCACGTAGATTGTGTGCTAATTGCTTGTGTAGAATGACACATCTATAGGTAGAAAAATCAAAGGGGTTTTCTATATGTTTCTTAATGTACATTTGTCTAAATATGTTTAAATCTTTAGAGGGTCATGTATAAATATATGTAAGATCTAGGATAATTCCCCCCTCCCATCAATTACTACCTGGTCATTACCTTCCAGATTAATTACCCACCTGAATATCACACTCCCTCCTATGCAAATTACTGAAATAGGACATTACCCCCCAATCAATTACCCCCTGGTAATTTCCCTCCAAATCCAAATATTGGAATTGGATATTAAACCTAACCCAGTATGGTAACGCAAGTGCTAGGTTGATGTAGGATTCATCATGTTTTCTGGCACTCAACAGATTTCTGGTACTCACCAGGTGCAGAGCCAGCGCATCAAAGCCTACGACCAAACTGAGCTGAAGTCTGATGAGAACCCCAAGGATGTTGACATCAAGGAGAAGAACACCCAGATCCTGTGTCGTGGGGAGAGCTTTGAGCTGAAGACAGACGGGGACCCAGAGAAAGAGCTGGCTGCCAAATGTGTTCGTTACATGCTGCAGGGTCGCCTCCCTCTAAAACCACCTCCAGTCAAGGTACACGTTAAGATCATTGTTTGTTTTTTATGAGCGGTGATGCTGCATTGCAATAAAATTAATCTTCTACCAGCTAATGGCTGTATCATACACCTTAACCAAATAATACTGTTTGTTTCTTGGTGAAAAGCACATGTAATGTTTCTTCCACTGACTGTTTAACACATATTTTATCAATGTTTCATCTATTCACAGTAAGACACATATTTTGTTAATATATCTTCCATTGAGAGTAAAACACATATTTTATGAATGCTTCTTCTGTTCACTATAACACATAATAAATGTTTCTGTCCCTGATAGTATAAACACAAACTTAATGTAGAACTTAGTTTTTTCTCGGATAGTAAAAGCACACATTGAATCATATTTAATGTAGAGCTATTTATATTGTCCACTGAGAGCAAAACACATATTTAATGTAGAGCTATTTGTTTTGTCCACTGAGAGTAAAGCACATATTTCATGTAGAACTATTTATATTGTCCACTGAGAGTAAAGCCCATATTTAATGTAGAACCATTTGTTATGTCCACTGAGAGTAAAGCACATATTTAATGTAGACCATTTGTATCTCCTCTGACAGATGGACTCCATGATGAGCTCAACCACAACTGTTACCTCTGAAGAAAGTGAAGCCAGCTCAGACTCACTGGGCACAAGTTTGTCCAGCTCTATGGTTTCAGACATTGTCAAGTAAGTTGTCTCACTGGGCACAAGTTTGTCCAGCTCTATGGTTTCAGACATTGTCAAGTAAGTTGTCTCACTGGGCACAAGTTTGTCCAGCTCTATGGTTTCAGACATTGTCAAGTAAGTTTTTTTACTGCCCAGAGGTTTATGTATTGTCAAGTAAGTTTTATACAGTTGAGGGTTTCAGACATTGTCAAGTAAGTTATTATTCTGCCCAGTTCTATTTACTGTCAAGTAAGTTTTATACAGTTGAGGGTTTCAGACATTGACAAGTAAGATATTTTATACTGTCCAGAGGTTTATATAGCTTCAAGTAAGTGTTTATAGAACTATTGAGTAAGATTTCACACAAATAATTGTGTAACTAGTGTAGACCTTAAGTGGAACATTGCACAAAAAATAACTGTGAATCTAATGGACCCTAATAAAATATTCATTAAAATTAAATAGCAGTGAATATTATCATTTAAAATGGAATTTTTGTTATGTTGTTATATTTGCTTTCTTGATTTCTTGAATGGGATGTTGATAAGTGGAAAACCCTAATCCTTCATCAATGCAACAATAATAAAATCTATGCTATGCCTTTTTTTACCTTTTAAAAATATCAATTTGAAATGTTTTTTCTTCAGATCTGTTCCAATTCAGTCAAGTAAGTCATGTGACAGCCTGCTGACCACATCCCCCTCACCTTCAGGGGAGTCGGCTGACCGCAAGCTGTCACTGCCCATCAAGGCCATCAACTTGGACACGCCCATGTTTGTCCCTGACATTGAAGAGGTCAGGCCCAGCCCGGTTGTGTCACGGAGGGGATATCTCAACTTCCTGGAGGACAACACCAACGGGTGGATCAAGAAATGGGTGGTGAGTACTTCTGACCAGTGGTCAGTTTTAAATTTTTCAAGAAATCGGTGGTGAGTACTTCTGACCAGTGGTCAGTTTTAACATTTTTCAAGAAATGGGTGGTGAGTAATTCTGACCAGTGGTCAGTTCAAATAAAATGGGTGGTGAGTACTTCAGACCAGTGGTCAGTTTTAAATGTTTTTAAGAAATGGGTGGTGAGTACTTCTGACCAATGGTCAGGTTCAAATAAAAATACAAAACTTCAACACTCCCAGCTTTCAATCCATTGGCTTTCAGTACTGTTATGATGCTCCTAACATCTGATAAAATATTTTCTTTATTTAATTTTTTGCTTTGACTAGTTTTTAACCATAAATCTATGTCATGATATCACCAGAACTGCCATTTTTAGTTGTGTTTATTTCTTGTAGTATTCCTGCTTAGTTGATTTTTCATTTTTTAGAAATATTTTATGAATTTACACGCAAAGCAGCATTTTTTTTAACACTTGAACCCCATTCAGCTGTCATGTTTAGACAGGTACTTTGGCAAATTATATAATTAGCCTAATTAAAATTAAAGTATTTATTCTAATACTAATCCTATCCATGATTATGGCAGGAAAATTACATTAATTACATTCAATTACTTTAATTTGTATTAGTAATATGTGGGTTTTAAATAAATGGGTAAAAAGATAAGGTTACAGTGTATTTCCAGTTAACTTAAACATCTTGTCTTAAAGAGTTATAGCAAAAATGTGGTGGTATTTACGAGATAATGTTAAAGTTTTGAAATGTTATCCCCTCTGCCCAGATTGTGCGCAGGCCATATGTGTACATCTACAACAGTGAAAAAGACCCAGTAGTGCGAGGCATCATCAACTTGGCCACAGCTACCATTGAATATTCAGAGGATCAACAAGCTCTGCTTAAGGTTGGCTCATTCTTCTTTCTTTAGTATGAACAATTTCAGCTATAACTGGTGAATAAAAGTGAATTTCCTCTTTATTTACAATACAATACCATACAATACTAATATTTTATTCTTTTTTTTTAAGTTCGTCATAAAAAAATTAATTTATTTAAATTTATGACAAACCTAAAACTAGTCATAATTTGTTATAATTTCTTCAAAAATATTCTCACAAATCAGGCAAAACTATCTGCAATCTCTAGTTAATAAATGAGACCAGTTTATTTTATTGTATTTACCATCCAGTAGAATGTATATGATGATTAACATGTGTAGTAGATTGGGAGCAATAGTAGAGAGAACCAACTTAGCTGTTAACCATGAGGAAAACATAAACATTTATTTTCTCTTTAGGGCCAGGATAAGATCCTAAGTTAATGTCACTGGTGCTAATCACTCAAAGTTTAACATTACATTTATTGTTCCTGCTTCTAGATAAATAGATAAAAGTAAAATAGTACAATAGCAATAATTTTTCTTTATACAGAAACGAATACTTGTATGCACTATTTACCCTAATTTATCTTCCCTTATCTAAGGAGAGAGCGTTTAAATAAATTCTGATGTATATAACAAGGTTTTTTTATCTCCTCTTGTCAGACACAAAATGACCAGATAAATAGATGACTAGATAAATAGATAAAAGTAAAACAGTACAATGGCAATAATTTTTCTTTATACAGAAATGAATACTTATATGCACTAGTTACACTAATTTATCTCCCCTTATCTAATGAGAGAGTGTTTAAATAAATTCTGGTATAAAATGATTTTTTTATTTTCTCTCGTCAGACACAAAATGACCAGATAAAAAGCTGACTAGATAAATAGATAAAAAGTAAAACAGTACAATAACAATAATTTTTCATTATACAGAAATGAATAGTTTTATGCAACGCTTACCCTAATTTATCTCCCCTTACCCTAGGTGAGAGCATTTAAATAATTCTGGTATCTAACGAGGTTTTTTTATTTCCTCTCATCAGACACAAAACGCTTTCTCTGTGATGACCAAGCATAGATGTTTCCTGCTGCAGACCATTGATGACAAGGATTTCCATGACTGGCTCTATGCCATCAATCCTTTGTTGGCTGGTCAGATCAGGTCTGTTCTATATTTAGTCTACACTCTTCTAGTCTGATTGCAGTATAAAAACATATTTTTAAATAGTTTTTTTTTTCCTTTTTGAGGTATATAATATTACCATCATTTTATCATTTATTTTTTTTTCATAAGTTCTGTTTTTTTTTTTTAAATTTGACAGTAACTACTAATCAATTTTTTATCAGTAACTAAATCAATTTTTATTAGGCCTAACATTTCCATTAATAAAATGTTTACTTTTAAAGCATCTAGGCTACAATTGTTATGTTTTTTAAACAAAAGATAAAAAATGAAACAATTTTGAAAGGTTTCAGAGAGAGATTTTAAAAAATAGATTTCTGTTTCTTGCTCAACCTAACCATTTTGTTTTGTTTTCTATTTTTAGATCAAAACTATCCCGCAGAAAACAGCCAATGAAAATTTAAATCACTGTTGCATCACAGTCCAGCCAAGATGGGTGTCAATGTGGTCATCTTGTGTGACCAGCGACCACCCCAGTGCTCTCACCCTCATCACTCTCATCTCATGAGTCGTACAGATAAACTTTCTTTGGTCACTTCAATAACAATGTGTTCTCTGGGTCAGGGGGTCAAGGGGTCAAGGGAACAGCTAAAAGTATTTGTTGACAACTTGTTTTAATCCACAGTGATATGGACAACCATTTTTTTTTTTGACAGGAAGTTGACAAAATTGTCACCTTACTAGTTTGTGAAATCAAAGATTGGACATTTTAGGAAATGAAAAACATATTTAACTTATGTTGAAAAAAAGAAGTGGAAATTTAAAGTAGTTTTTTGAAAAGAAATTATGTAATTAAAAAAAATATAATTTAAAAAACCTGGGCTGTGAATAATCAAAAAAAAAAAAAAGAGAATTTTTCTGTAATATGTTCCAGATTCAGCATTTTGGGATTTAAAAAAACAACAACTTGTTCAGAAAACCTTTTTGGTTCAGCCCAACATAGCTATTTAGCAGGGGAGTGAATCCACTGTTACTTCCATTCATGACGACAAAAGTCCCAAGGTTTCACACCATCCATTGTTATATTTCTTGTTACTCTATGTGCAATACCATCAGTCTGGTGTAGCAAGCTTGTGCTAACTTAATGTTGTCTTGGACAGTCTTTTTTTTTCTATGTGTAACATCCATTAGATCCATCTTTTAAAAAAAAATGTATCCATATGTATTATTCTTAACATGGTATTTCATTTTCAAATCATGAAGTATATTATGAAGTCGGTTATTAGTGTGCTATCTTTACAAGCGGGTAATTATTTTATTTAACAAATGTCTGCATAATTAAAAAATTTAAAAATTCCGAGAAGGATAAAATTCTGGTGAACAAGTCCAGGTGCTCTTTCATTGCTACCTCGGTAAAAGGTATCTGAAATTTTTAAAACTCAAACCCATTAAGGATGTATTCTAGGGATACCTTTACAAGATAAATCAATTGAGCTGTTAAAATCTGGGTACTATACAATTAAATAGATTTCAGTAGACACGTATACTGTTAAAGTTTAGATGGAATACACAGGTCTATGTGGGATGTTTTATATGGGTTCATACGCAGGATTCTACTGAGCTATGTTGATACATGATTTGAAAGTTTTTGAAAAACTACAGCATACAAGATTTGTTAAAACATTCTCAATGCCTTAAAGTTGACAGAACTAGTCTGCAGTTTCTAAATGGAACATTCTGCTCAAATTTTAAAAAAAAGTAAACACTGTACTTTTAAAAAAAATAGTGTTGTTAATGTATCTTTTTTAAACTTTTAAAATTGTATTGTGCCTTGAGAATAGGCAGGAATTTTGAGTCATTACTTTAGCTGTTAATATCAGCTTTAATGTGACAGAATTGGGTTATGCAAGCAGAATATTTTTATCTTGTTTAAAATATAGTACCCAGATTTTAATCAGCTCAGTGAAATCATGCTAAAGTTTCATACAATGTATGTAATTTCAGACTAATTTTTCCACCAATCTGGTTCAATTGCATTTTTCTGTACCTTACAAGAAAAAATTCACATGGTGTGTATTAATGGAAATTTTGAATCAATCTTTAGATCTATGATAAAATCTAGATTTTTGTTTAAAAATAATTTCTTTTCACCACAAAGGAAATATTTTTCTTTTTAAGCTGGATATATATTACATGTAACATATTTAGGGTGGGAGCGGTTTTTAAAAAATCTTAGTATCACTAACTAAATATTGCTGTAGGTACGGCTTTCATTATCGATGTGACGATTAGATTTGTATATATAATTCACCATCATTAATTTATTTTCTTCTTTGGAAAAATAAGAATCCTGTTTTTTAATTGTGGTGTTCCTGTAATAATTTTTCGGGCGAGTAGGTCTTTGAGTGTGTCTTATAGGAGTTGTGAATTTTTTTGTTTATCCATGGTAAAAATTATTGATTGTTCCATGCCTTTTTGGAAATATTTTACTTGTCCCATGTACTTGTTTTTCAACAAGGTTTAGAATTCCAAATTTTTATTGGCTGTGGGTGTTAACATTCCTAAACCTGTAGAGGTGTGTACTCGTGTAGCTACTTTCATTCCTCCCACTCTTATAAAGTAGAGAAATAAGTTTTTAAAATATATTTCTGTGTACAGTGACCTCTCGCCCAGTAAATTTTTTTTGTTTCGTTTCTTTTTAAAGAACTAACATTGCATCTCTGGCTGTGATCTTGTAATTTTGCCTCTGTAATTTATGTACAGTTTTATTTTTGTGTGCGCTATATTAACGTCCAGGCCTGAATACATGCAAGCAGAAACTGTAATTCTAGTGGTTTGATTAGAAGCTAAGCATAGCAGTTTCATTTCTAAATATTTTCACATTTTTAAATCTATCATCAATAATTAGAAAATTAAAATACCAAATTTTTTGTAAAAAAATAAATAAAAGTGATGTTAAAGGTAAACATCTTAACTTAGGAAATTAATTCATCAGAAAATGAACCTGAGTTCCAATGCAGCTTAACTCTAATCAAACCACAATGTAATTTTAATGTTAATTATTTTAGCTTTAGTTTAGAATTAGTTTTTTTCCCCATTTTGATAAGTTTCCCAAAAATATTAATTCAGTGTTAGCTCTCAGCTCCATGTAGCTTCATCGACCATAATTCAGCAAACTTTTGTTTCCATTTTTCATAAAAAATAATACTACGATCAAGTATTAATACATCAGATATGTTTCATCAATCGGTTTTCTAGTATCTGCGGACAAAAATTGTTCAAAAAGTTAAAAAACTTGATGCAAAATGAGTCTAGACAATTCACTTTGGTAACTCATTTCAGAATTACTTTTCAAGAAGTTTTAGTGTTTGAATATTTGGTGTACACAGACAATTTTCTGTGTCTGTATAATATTTCATCTTAATAGTTGTGTAACTTGTGTGTAGTTATCGTATATATAAATATATATAAAACACTCGTACGCACAGGCGTACATTCATTTTATGTCCATGTATATTAAACATTGTACATTAGTAACTGGTGTATTATTGTGACAAAAAAAAAATCAAATGAACAACTTACATTGAATAACTTACAATCCCCCCCACCCCCTTCATCAACACACAGTGATCTGGTGTGTTCTTTGTATCTGCTTCTTATCTTATGTTTAGAGATTTGTTTTGTCCTCTCACTGTGATCTTGCATGTCTAGACACATACTTTATAACCATCAAAGTTGTGCTGCATACATAATTTTCCATGCAGAGATTTTTTTTCTGGAGAGTTGTGGTTCCTGGCACACTACAATTGGCCAGATTTTTTAGGGAAGTGATGCCAGATGAAATCTTAGTCTTTTAATTGCGGTGGAGAGAATTTGTATTTTTTAAATAATTTAGCAGAGCTTGTCTTTTTTTTGAGGTTAGAAAATATCTATTTTTAAAATGCCTTTTGAAAAAGATATGCCACAGATGTTTGGAGGTGTTAATACGATCTTACAAAATTTCATGCCTAAAGTTTAATTGCAATCACAAAGATTAGGCATAAAATACCATGTACCAGATTGTTTATGAAAACAAAAACAAGCAAACTCTGCTGTAGAATTTAAAAGAAAATTTTCTGGTTAAATTTCTTTCTGGTGTTAAAAATCCGTTTCACCATCAGTTGTGGTCTTGTGATGGGTAGCAATATTGTGCTATTGTTACTGTTGTTTTTTTGGTGGAAATTTAAAAAAAAAACTAGGATGATCCATTGAAAGCCACATTTTTGGTTCTTTGTGAAGGATAGCGTTTTTAAAATCGCTATTACTCAGGGGAAGTAAGCCGTTTGTGATTTTCCGAGTTCTTTCATTACCTGTTATTTACTTTGAGTGTGGCTTTCAATGGCAGTCATGATTGGTTTTTTATCTTCTTTGTGATGTCTATTCCAAGTCGTGCAATATTAGATCAGTGAAGTTTTAATGGTTATCTGCCCTTTGTACACCGTGAGCACTTCATCCTACAAGTCACGTGCACACCCTCATCCCATTGGTTCCTTCCGTGGCTCCAGTTCTGTTGGATTATGTCCCTTTATGTTGGCTTCTGTCTATTCAGCAAAATGTATGTTTTTTTTTGGTTGTTTTTTTCCCATTTATTTCACATGTTTTTATTTAAAGAACTGACGTTCATTAAAAAAAACAACTAAATCTTATAAAAAACAAAACAAAGTAAATGAATTATAATTGTACTGATTTTGCTCATACAGATTTTTGTAGCTCTTTTTTGTAAAAAAAAAACTTTTTATAAATTTGTAACATGACTGTATTTTAAAATTATGTACAAGTCAAAATAATATTCTACTTAGGCAATGCTATTTGTAGCAAGTCAGATAATGCCCTTCTAAATTAGAAATCAAATTTGTATCAATAATTAATTCTGAAATTATGCTATTTAGTCAATAATCTCTATCCTTGAAAATGATATTATGTATTATAGTTTCCTAAATTAAGAAAGTTTTTTTTACAGTAATATTATAAGGAAAACGAGAAAACATTATAATTTGAGACTTTAAAAACCAATCAAAATCTAACTTATATGATCACATATCAGTACTTAAAAATTTCATTACATTTTAAACAGCCTATACAATTTGAACTCAGCGAGTGCTAAATTTATTTTAAACATTGGTAACTATTAGTCTTATACGTAGTTGATGTAAAATGTGGATATATTGTCTTGTTAGCAATTACCTTCCTTCATTGTTGTCTCTTTAAGATTTGAACTAACTTTCAACCAATCCAAAGAGAACAACTACCTTTTGAATTTTTCGTTATTGTTGGAAGGTTAGACTAACAATTTATCAGTCAAAAAAAAAAAGCACATTGGTTTCTTTCATGTACTTTGACTTAGCGGAGAGATAATTTTTGGGATGTTTAATTTTTTGTCAGCTAGTAATTTTTCTAGTCTTGTTTTTCCGTCTGGTTGCAGTATTGCTTGTGCATTTGCGCTCCTAAAAATAAACATTAAATTTTTGCGAGTCAAAAAAAAAATTAAACTGATGAGTTGAGTTTACTTTTTGGTGCATGGTTATTTTTTTTAAATTTTATTTTTGAAACTTATACAAATATGTCTTGGTTTTGATTACATGGCTGGTCACCCATTGATTGAGGTATGTCTGTGTTGGTAGTTTCAGTTATGTCACATTATGTTCCGCTGGCTTTATGTGATGAAGAAACTGAAACTGGTAATGGATTAGCTACACGATCAGAAAACAGACAACTGACTTGTTAAGACAAGATTTCACGATTTCAATAGGGCTGGTAAGTAGGTCACCAACCAGTTCTACGGCTCAATAAAACCTGCATGAACCATAGAACTGGTTGATCTACTTACCAGCCCTATTCCCAGGGTAAAAGAAAAGTAGGTAGACCAAGAAAACGCTGGGGACTTATTTCAGATATAACACAGGAGAATCTGTTACCACATGTGATAAGTAGAGAGATGGGGAATGAGTAGAGAGACAGGAGGCAAGTAGAGAGTTGGCTTAAATGTTTGGGTTCATTCTAATACATTTTTGGCCACCTAATACTACTAAGATATTTTTAAAGAAATAAAACCAAAACGAGACCTATTGAAAAGATGATAAACTTCAAAGTAAGATGTGATGAAGAAAAAATCACACAAAACCTACACGTGTAAAAGAACTTACTACACAAGATAGGGAAGATTGGTCTAGTCAATATTTATTTGCTTTAATTATCAGATACATTTTAGTTATACTCATCCAACATTTTTTTTTTATCAAACACATTGGTAGGTCCTATGAGCAAGTAGTACGGGTATATTAAGAACACACTATATTGTCCGTACTGAGCTGTCACATGCTGTTACCTCCCTTGTCTATTGGCGTAGTTCATTTCGCATTAGATCTTTTAAATTGGTGTTTACAAATTTACTCTGTGAATTCCATCCTTTGCTTCCTTTTTCTATGATTGTTTTTCAGTCCCTCGGCGAGCTGGCGTTGTTGGGTTAAAGGTTTGCCCATAATCTGCCTCGAAATATCCGAGAAAGTACATTTTTTAACAGGCCCTTCGCCATATTCCTGTGTGTGAGTTGTTTCCCCTGAGTATCTGGCCGCGCTGACGACATTTTCGCGCACTTTGCCCTCAATCTTTGAAGAGTTCACGCCCCTTGCGTCGTCAAGAAAGTGACTGACCCCCAAAATGGCCTCTTCCACCGCCGACCCTCTTCTTCCATGCGGCGTAACTCTCAAATCAGAATTTATTTTATTTTTAACTTCAGAGTTATGTTTTCCTTTCCCAGCCATTTCGGATGTTAAATGTGACGCAACTGTAGACTTTACAGAACTTTCAACGCTACTTTTTGACTCGATTCTATTTTTTAAATTCTTCTCCGAATGGGCTTTTTCTTCCAAAGATTGATCCTTGCCAATATTTTCTAAAACCGAGACTTTTGGTTTCTTAAATTTCAAGTCTTCATCTTTTATCTTTACTTCTTCAACCGTCGGCAAAAATTGATCCTCTTCCATTGAATTCACCTTGACCGTTTTGGTAAGCCGACTTTGTTTCGTGTTATCAACAGCCATTTTGATATTTCTGTCATCTCCAAAAGCTACACCCTCATTGGACGGTTTACAAGAGTGGCCATTGGAATTCTCAGCCCCATGAAGAACCTCATTGACCCAGATAACATTCTTATTTGATTTATTATCTATGGTACTTTTACTCTCAGTCCGGGATTTCCCGAACTCATTTTGAGTGTCAGCTATTTTTACCACAGCACTAACTGCATTTGAGGCGCGTCGAAAACTAAAGTGTTCACGGTCTTTTTCCACTTCCGCGCCGCCATTTTGACCTAAACTTTCACCTTTGACCTTTGCACTGTACTCATGACTTCCCGTATGTGACTCTATCATCTTATTCCTGATTTGGACCTTCTTTTCAGATGTGTTGGTAAATTGCCATTGGTCCGCCCTAACGGAATTGTTTCGACGGACATAGTCCGCGATGTTCAGGACCGTCCCGAGAAGAAACGCCCCAGACGACGCCATCATAACAAACCTTGACCAACCGATGGTAACTTTTGTGACCTCTGACCTGTCTTCGCTTGCAAGGTCAAGCTCGTATAGGGCCAGTGTCGCGGCTATCAGAAGCGCTGAAACCAGTACACAAAACAAGAAATTAACATTTTTTTTCAACTTTAGGGACTAGTAATCTGACAACATTTGGACGGCGTGGCCTAGCGGTAGAGAGCTAGACTGCTAACCCAATAGCCTCGAGTTCGAATCACGGTTCAAATCAGTGGAACGTACTTGAGTCCACCCAGCTCTGATGGGTCTCTAACTTACGTTAGGGAAACAAATGCGGCCGGGCATAGTGCTGACCACACTATCTATTCATATTTCAAGGCCATTGAATCAGATGAACTCTACATTTGTCCAATAAAATATGCCTAGTTTAATATGTGTTTGGTCTTAGATGTATGAACATAATTACGTATACAAACATAAATTAATTAATTGACATCTGTTTCCGTGGCTTCACTTGGTCAGGTGTCACCCGGTACGGTACATTATGATATCACCCCCCCCCCCCCCTGCAAGAGTATACATATTGATTCTCTATAGTTAGCAAATTTACGACATGATGTCAGGATGTTTCTGTTTGTACTCAATTGAATATTTAGTCATTCGGTGCGGCCGCACCCCCGCCCCCTTTGCGACGCCACTGATCTGTATGCCTACATTTTTAATGCATTTTTTTTTCTGATACCTTAACCATTGTCCGGTTGCAATTTCCCCCTTAACTAAGACAATGTTTGTTTAATGAAGGTGCAATCATTCATTTAAGTCTTAATTTATTTTAAAATGGATGTTAACTTAAGAGCAGTTGGCTATAAAACTTGCGTTGACTTGTAGTGTGATCCAACTTACCCGTCAGCAGGGAAGGGTAGGACATCCCAGCTCCCACATTACGGCTCCGGCAGCTGCTGTTGCACACGGCCAGTGCCAAGGCTTGCAGTATGAAGACAGAGAGGATGATGGCGGCTGTGCACATGGCGAACACGATTGTAAACACAGCTGGGAAAAAATGAGTCAATGAATAATCTTGAATGTGTGCAATACAAGCTAGAGGACGACGTGAATTGATGAAGGAACTTATTAATAATTGTGAATGACTGTTTGCAATACAAGCTAAGGAACGGCATGGATTGGTGGAAGAGTGTATGATCATAACTCCAAAAGTCTCAAGTTCGGAACCTCGGACAGAAGAGGCTCGTTGGCTGGGGACGGCAACCAATCTAGTAGCGAAAACTCAAAAAAAAAAAAAAAAAAAAAACAACAAACAAAACAAACACACCAGGAACGCGATATTCAGAGGCGTAGCGACCCTTTTTGCAACCCCCCCCCCCCCTCAAGATTTCGATTTGCACCCCCCCCCCTCAAGATTTCGATTTGCACCCCCTCAACCTTTCAATTTATTTTTCCAACCCATTTTGGCGCCCCCTAAGGTCGGCGCCCGGGGACATATGTCCCCCCCCCCGCCCCACCCCCCTCGCTACGCTACTGGCGATGTTGATTGCTCCTGGGTGGGCAAAGGCTATATAAACAAACCCAGAAGGAAAAGTAGGCGGAAATTTGTTAAAGGGGTCACATTGAGCACGAAATATTGATATGTATCAGTATATTGATAAGTGAGTTTGAGGTAAGGGGTCGTTCATAAATGAAAGAAAGCTGGAGAGAGATAGAGAGAGAGAGAGAGAGAGAGAGAGAGAGTTACTCACTTCTGGTATCATTCAAGTCCACCATTCTACACCCACCCTTGTAGCAGCTGACCAACACACCCTGAGCCTTGACCTCTCCCGTGTTGACCTTGACCAGTGTCCAGTAAGGTGTGCTGTAGCCACAGATCAACGCCGAGAAGCCCGCGACGTGACAGATGAATGAGACGTACAGGAGACAACTTGGTGAAGCAGCCATTGTTCTTGTAGGTTCAAATACAACGGCATCTGTGAACTGTGTACTAACCTATTACCTGTGTTTTGTGTTTGAAAAATTAATAAAAAACTTTTCTAACGCCATAAGGATAGTGTGGTCGGATGGTAGAGGTGACGATTGCTAACCCGAACGTCTCGTGTTCGGACCCCTGGGATCGAGTACTTAGGACGTCCCTGATTCCACCCAGCTCTGATGTGTAGGCCTACCTGATCGCGTTCAGAGTTTCTTCCAGGCATCTCTCCCCCCCCCCCAGAAAGTCTACCGCCCTCCCCCCCCCCCCCCCGAAGGAAATGAACATATATACTTTTAACAGTGTCCACCCCCCCCACCAAAGTCTACCGCCCCCCCCCCCCCCCGAAAATTTCAAGTTCCCCCCAGAGAAAAAAGTCTGGAAGAAACACTGCTCGCGTTAGAGAAAATAATGGCGGCTGGGCATAATAGGGCTGGTAAATAGGTCACCAACCAGTTCTACAGCTCAATTAAACCTGCATGAGCCATAAAACTGTTTATTGACCTACTTACCAGCCCTATTATGACCATACTATTCTTTCATTCGCCAATATCACTTCAACAGATGAACTTTACTTCGCCTGCCCCATTGACCGTAAGGCTCGAAATAGTACTTAACATTTTTTTACAACAACAAATTTGACATCAGCATATCATCAG